TTTTCCTTCGCTGGCAGCGTTACGGCGGCGTTTGGGCGGTGGTTGGGGGGGTTGGAAACGTTTGGATGCGTCTACTTGATTTGGGTAACGCAGGGACGCGTGGTGTGGTCGAGGGTGATAGGTAGCGGTAGTGGTGGTAGTTGGAGTTGGAGTTGGTGAGAGGAGGACAGCGAGAAGCGTTGGGGTGTCATGCGTCGCGTGGAGACGGGCGAAGAGTAGACCCTGGGTGGCGGGAGTGGTTGGTGGATGAGGAAAGGGAGTGGGATTGAGGGGAGAGTGGAGGCCGTTGAGAGAGAGAGAACGCGAGAGGTCGTCGACTGAGTGAGTGGATGCGAGGCAAGGGGAGGACGCGATTGCGTGGGATGTACGCTGACTCCCTCCTTCCTCCAGCCGTCTCCTCCGTCTCCCCGTCCGCTCCTCCCCATCCTCGCAACTGTCCTCGCAACTGTCCTCGCAACAGCAATTCTGCGCCAGCCCAAGCTCGCGCCACCCTGAACGCACTCTAGGCCAGGCCAGGTCAGCGCCGCACGAAGGCACGAAGGACAAGAACGGAGGGCAAAGAGACGAGGACAAGGACGCAAGGCGAAGAGACGAGGAGGTGGAGAGATGAAGGGGTGGAGAGACGAGGCGGAGAGTGAGGAGGTACGTGCGTACTCTTCTTTTGTTGGTTTGTTGGTTTGTTCCTTCGTTCGTCGTACGCGCTACGCCCGCCATTTGGAGTGTGTGCACCGCTCCTCGAGCCAACCGCGATTTGAGTACTTGAGATGGGCGTGGATGGGGTTGAGCGTCGTCCAGGATTACGGCGTTCGCATTAGGCAGCGGCGGGAGACTCTGGGAGTGGGAGTAGTTGAGATAGCTGCCGAATACAGTGGTGAGCTTCATCGTTGCTGTACGTTGCTAGATCACTAACCATGAACAATGCCAGCACCTCGTCTTGTTCGTGGCCGTGCTCTACGCGATAGATGTGCTCAACGACACACTATCGAGGTAAGCCGTCATTTGGCATCGAGACACACGAGCTGAACTCGCTGGAAACGACATCGTAGACTTACTATGTCGTCAGCGCAGCCTCAAGCGACACTCACCACGCCGCCGAAGTTGGGAATCGATAGGACAAACGGCGAGCTCGCCAGGTCTGCGCCCCGAGTCCAAGTCTTGGGATGCTGCGCCCGTCCAACGACAGAATGTCGTACGCACGCTGTGCACCGCACCCAGTAAGTCATCGAGCACACAGTCCAGGTGGCAGTTCGACTAACCTTGTACCGCCCACAGCTCGAGCTCGTTGCATGCAGCAATGGCCGCCCAACTCACACCCAAGTCACAGGCCCGCCGATGGTCGTCCACGTCAATGACTCCCGATTGGATGCTGAGTACGCGGACACGCAGTCGTCGAGCGCGTCGTCGAAGGTTGTGGGCAAAGGGTCGGCACGAAGCATTGAATCTGAGAGATAGCTTAAAAACTGCGATGAGAGAGGATCAGCGTGAGCGTAGACGTAGACACGAGACTCGCCACACAGCACGCGGGCCAGGGATGTGAGAGCGAGTGCGTGTGTCGACTGGACTGGACGACTGAGCCGGCAACGTCGTCCCCGTGAGCCGAGTGATTGCGCGATCCCGACGAACAGCACACCCAAAACACCAAGTCCCGGTCGAGTTGGCGTGGACAGACGGGACGCGCCACAACTGCGTGTCAGTGTCAGTGCGAATGCGAGTACGTGAGTTCCTGGCCGTAAACAGAGAACGCCGCTGATCGAGTCTGAAATCAGATGGACCGTCTACAAAACCGGTTGCTGGAACTATGAATCAACGTTCGACGCCCGGCGCCGTCAGTACGCTGAACGAACGACCAACCAACCAACCAGTGCGTACCTTATCCATTGATCCCTCCAATCTCATGCCGTGCAGCTGATCCTGTATGAATCTAGGGCTTGATCTGTGAGGTGCCCTCGAATCTCTCAACGACGGCGTAGGTGAGTCATGCGCAAATCAGCTTATTCGAGAGTGATCTAACGACACTACATTTTGCTGATACAGAATTCCTGTCTACGGGTCGCGCGCGGACTGCTGTCGACAACGACAACACTGTCAGCGCTGTGAAGCGGCTATCGAATGACAAGGTGCGTACCTCTCTTCTCTCTTGTTCACGTTCCTATTGCTTCCTCCTCTAAGGTCTTCGTCGTTCTACCAGCCATTAGGGTCTTCGCGAAACGCCAGCGTCGCTCGCAAGCCGTAGACGCAAACATACCCACTCACCGTTGTCGACGCAGCACGTTTCGGCTTGACACGCAGATTGGGTGCATCGGTGCGTATCTTCGTCACCTTTCGCGTTCATTCGTCTTTTTCTTCTGTTCTTGTGTTTTCGTCCCGTCTTGTTTCGCTTCCATGTCAATCCCAGCCTGTAGCATCATCGTTGCGCCTGCCGTTCTAGTCGTCCGTCGTGCATCGTTTCATTCCGGGCATCCCGTGTCTTTCCTATTTCCTTCTCGTCGTCTCCCCTCCTTGCCTGCGCACCACATCGCTGACTCCCCTTCCCTCACAGCACCAACGCATCGCTGTCCTCTCCCAGGATACGCGTGCGCAACCGCACATTCTGCAATCGCGCGCCTGCACTCTGGATTCGCTGGCACGTGCTCGTACTCGTCCTCTCCGTCCCTTTCGTTCCTTGTCGTCCCCCGCCTGTTTCCTCACTTCGTATGGCAGTGTCATGCATGGAAGCTGGCTGTCCCGCGAATCTTCTCCTCGCGCGCCGAAAACACTGCCAGACTCGTAGGTAGCCCCGTGCAGATGTAGGCCTGGCTTTTACTTGCGCCCTGAAGACTTTGCGCGCATCCCCAAGGACGTGGTGCGCATATGAGTTCCCCGTTTGGCGGAGGAGCATTGGGAAGCTAGAAGAAGGGCAGGTGGGTAAGACGAAAAGGCAGCAACGTGGAGTGTGCTTACCTGTCTCGCAGCCGCTGCGCTTGATGTTCGGCGCTACAAAAGCCCACACCTCCTCCCGCCTTTCTCCAGTCTCAGCCCCGTGTTCCGCGTTCGTAGCTGAAGTTGTCTCCCTCAACGTCCCCGTTGAACGGGCCCGATACCCCAGTACACTTCCGTGCCTCGCATTTGCGAACATTGTCCGGACGTGCTCGCACATGGTTCTGACTGGACCTGGCCACCACCTTAGCCATGCTAGCCTCGGTCCTTGTCGTCGCCAGCGCCCAACGGGGTGTCGAAGGACTCCTGGGCGAGCAGTGCGAGCGGAAATTGCGTCTTCCCGCTGGCGCATGGTCTCGCTGCATGACGCTCGATGGTGACGACGACGGTGACGGCGGAGTGTCACGGTAGATGAATATTCGGCGGTCTGCCACTCTAGTGAGTCGCCCGGCCGGCTGAACGATTTTTAGGCGTAGACTCACCATTTAGTCTTAGTACTTGTCCTTTGTGGTCGTCGATAACATCCATATGCGCCGTATGGATGTAGCAAGGCCTTTCAATCGCCTTGTCGACCGTGCGCTGGCGCCCAACGTCTGTGGGATATCACGAAGGGTAGCGGTGTGTAGTATGTATGCGACGTCGTGACTGGGGATGCAGGATGGGCAGATGACGAGGAGGGGGCTGGTGAGTAGTCTGCCAGGCACAAACGTTGGAGGCGCATCTCGTACCTGCACTGCGTAGCCTCTCTCAGTCCTCCCATCTTCTGCCGTCTGTAATGCTCGTACGTGTCTAGCCCTTGTTCAAATCGCCGCCGCCGAAATTGTCCACGTTTGGGGATGTCGTCGCGGTAGTTATCGTGCGGGCTGTTAGGCGTGGTATGGGCCGTAAAAGTGGCGGCGTGGGGGTGGAAGGGTGGACGGAGTTAGCGGGGATGAACCAACGCCACGTGCACGATGGAACTCCGACGACCGAGCTCGCTCCTCAAGTCAACCAAGCACTCTCAATCACCCATCACCACTACGACTACGGCGACAACGACAACGGGGGCTGCGACGACCAGGGAGTTGACCCTCTCATACTTACCACAACGGCAGCTTTTCACTTCAATCCCCCCTCCTCTGTATCTCTCTGAGTGCCAGAGCTCTGGCGCGTAACCATCGACAAAGACCATCCTGGTTCTTCTCAAGACGAACGAGGCGGCGAACAAGGATCCAGAATGTCGGGTGACGGAGAGACGGAGCAGATATGGAGAGATACCGGCCTGAATCAATCAGGTAAGTCTCCACATCGTTGGGAAAGCTGTCCAGTTCATGTAGCCTGTAGTCAACGCGTGCGACGGCTGCAGGAGCGCGAACGAAAGCGAACATGAGCCCAACCTGACGCCGTCGTCTTCGAGCTCTTGTCAGGCGTCGCCAAGTTCCCCACAACCCCCAGCATCGCGCCTGACACATCCAGAGTCCTCACTCTACCCCCGTCTTCGAATTTGCGACCGTGTTATGTCCCTCTCGGTGCCCTCTCCCACAGTCGTGGTTCTCAGAGGAAGCTCGAGGCGGTCTGATACGCGTGCATATAAGGACGCTAAACGCGACATCGGCAACGTGCGGGTATGCGGGCACCAGTCAGAGAAGGAGAGTAGAACGGGAGGGCTGTAGGGCGCAGAGGACAAGGCTACGATGGGTAGCACTACCGCGGTACGTCGCTACTGAGTCCATGCGCATATACGCACTCACATGGGGTAGATTAGGCTGGCGGCCACTGGAGGGGTCACGACGCCACTGTCTCGCTGACGCGCGCCCTCCTTCGACCGAGATGACCGCAACCACCCCCTCGCCGGGGGAGCCCCTATCTCCCACCCGCAACTTGTGCGGGCCCCTGTCTCATACGCACAATGACGTTGACTCATCCTCTCCCTTCGCCGCGATGCCCGGAGCCACCCCCTCGATGGGGGAGCCCCTATCTCCCTTTCCCTCATCCTGCCATCGCATCCTCCTTCGCCGACTTGCCCGCAGCCATCCCCTCGTTGGGGGGGCCCCTATCTGGGGCATGTATTGCTTGGGTGCGGCAAGTATCCGCCCTTCGCTGAGATGTCCGTAGCTGCCCCCTCATCGTGGGGGCCCCTGTCTTACGCAGCACACTGCTATGCCTTAACGCCCCTTGTCTGTTACATTTCCTATCTTTCAGATGTGGCTGCCGCTGCCTCACCCAAGTTGCAAGGCATCAAGAGCACACTAGTTGAAGGTGAGTACTGACTCTAATGCTGAATGTCCTAGGCTCACTTATGTAACCAACCAGATGAATGATATCCGGCACTTGTATGTACTCACCTAACCTAACCACCGAGACAGTCGCTCGTAAACGAGCTCCAAAACAAATATACTGAAACCCTAAACCTCAACCCCCTAAGTACCTAAAGTCCTAAAAGCCCTAACTCCAGGTTCCGCATTCAGTAATGATTCCGCGTTAGACCTCGCATTCGCGAGCTCTAACGCTTGTAGTTTATACTTACACATGTACAATTAAAGTATTTTGGAAGCAGATAAGACTGGTTTCTGGATCTTAGAGTGAGATTGAGTGGATGATTGAGGGTAGAATTGTGTTAGAGCTCGTGTTCGCAAGCTCTAACGATTCAAGTTTATGCCTCTTGACTCTCAATCTAAGCCATTTGGTAGTAAATAATGTGTATTTATATGATTCCCAGTACAAATTGTGATACGATAAGTCTAAAAATTGCCTGAGGGCATCCAAAATAATGTGATTTTGGGTCGGCCTAACCCAGCATTAGGCCCGGACTCAGTGGATAGGGGTTACCTCCCTACGATCGAACGAGGTCGAAGGTGATACTCAGGTCAACGCGGAAGATCTCATCTTACTTTTACCTTCGGAGGTCGTTAACATCGTGTCTGTCCCTTCGGCAGCCGCACACGAGTGGCGTCTCCGATATGGCCAGGCCTTTGATACTCTCAGTGATCTACGTCGCAATCTCTTGGTCCTCAGCTCCATGTATCAGTCTAAAGACAGGTACTCGCGTGGTCAGCAACATAATACTCGGAGCGTGATGCTGGTCAAGAATGTGCAGGCACGGGTAAATGCAGCCGTTCACAAATATCGGGCGTGCAGATCGGCGCTTCTTGCTCTGGGGAGAGTCCTCGGACAATCAGACTGGGAGCTGATACTGCAACCACTGGCTGATTCTGATGTTCGCGGTCTGAGGGATGGCCAAGATGCAGCTTCCTCCGAGGGCCGGCGGACACTATCATGGATATGGGCAGCGGAACGCACAAACGATGCCGAGCTGAATGAAGGAATGAATGAAGGTGAGATAATAATAGCTTGAAAATTTGGTGTCCTGCTAAGAATATAATGTAGCACTCCGAATCGAATGGTGTAAGACCCGGGCACGTGCTCAACGTTGGCAAGAGGAATGTGTTCTCTTAGGTGAGGAGATGCGCCGTGTACTTGAGTTCCACCGCTGGCAGGCGAAGGAATGGGAGACACGGGCGCTTGGAGCCACAACAGAAGGTGCTCGCGCATATGCCTGGCGCCAGGAGCACACGCGCCAGACCTTGATCTCTATGTGTAAATCAACATGGAAGGATCTCTCGTCGTTGATTGAGGTGGGAGAGGGCGCTGTTGCGGCAGGCCAGCCGCTCGTAGAGTGTGTGCATCGTAGTATATAGAAATGGAAATCTACTACACGTTTACATCACGCCATGCGACCGGGAGGGAAGGCCACGCGAGACCACGATCGCATCCCATACCGAAGGGAGGGCCACGCAACCAGATCATACCCCCATAGGGCATGGGGCGGAGATGCGCGGTAAAGGTAAAGTTTGCCACGTCACCGTCATCGTTTGCAACGACGAGCGAGGGAGCTCTCTCAACGGTGGGAATAAGAAGGGCACAAATAGAGGGGGAGCTGAATTATGTAACTGACCTACAGGACATCTACAGGGGATTGATACATCATGGGGTGTACTGTAGTCGTGGTGCCTGTTGCATCACGACTGCCCCGTAAGTACAGTATAGGATAGATAACAAGGACAGCTACAGGTGTCGCGTGGCGCATCTTCCAGCTCTGCCACAAGTGGTGGCTCCTCCTCCTCACGTGCTCGGTGCGTGGTGCTCAGAGCTCCAGTACTCGTGGACGGCGTACTCAGCAGATGAGATAGCTTTCCGTCCCTGCGTTCGTGTGCTTGTTGCTCGCGGATATACAGCCCGGTATCGCTGACGCGAGTTCCCGCTCGCTCGGGACCATCGTGACCCCCGTGCGTACGCATATCATAGCCGCGCTGCCCACATTGTTCGTGCAGGGGGTACTCACGCGTTCACTGCTCATCGTAGATATGGATGGGATTCAGCATGTTCTGTGATCTCACCATCACCCTCTCCATGATCACCCTCGTACGCGCCCGTTCCTATCCCCTCACCCGCCTCTAACTAGCGTGGATCGCTGCCATTCTGGTTTGATGCAGTTATACAACGCACTGAAGGAGGCCATCTTCCGCAGGACGCGCCGCACGCTCGCGCACATCCTCGCGTTCACGCTCGAGACCGGGCTGCTCACCACGCTCCTCATCGCGGTCCAGATGGCGCTCATGCTCGAGCCGCTCGCTGCCCACGCGGACGGCGGCTCAGAGCGCCGCTGGCGGTGCATCTTGTGCGTTCCCGTTTAATTCCCGTTACCCTCTCCCCGGACGTCGAAGCGGGAGTCTCTGATCGCTAATCGCTGATTGCCTTGCAACTTGAACAGCTTCTACCCAACGGGCGCAGTGTGAGTGCTGCGCTGGTGTATCACCGATAACTGTAGCGCTGACGCATCTTTGTGCACTGCGTAGGTACGCGTCCTGGGTTCTCGCGTCGCTCAATGCCCGGTCGGCATTCGCGCGCGACACGTTCATCGTGAGCTCCGTCTCGGGCCTTCCGACCACCTGCCCAGGCGACGCGCACGCTGAGTCCCGTACGACACAGCAGACCAAATTGGCTGCAAAGGATGCCGTGGTGGAGAAACCAAGAGTATGTGTGTTCTGCGTTCTGCTACCCTTCCGCAGTGAACACTGAACGCGCTGGATGCTCCTTAGGCTGCGGCGCCTGGTGAAAAGCGGGGCTAAGAGTTCGATGCCGATGTCGACGATTTGGTTTCATGTATTCGTATTTTGGATGTGCAGTGCACGGTATGATGACCATGTCGCAAAGTTACGTGTATCACAGACTAGTGGAGCGTACAGACTCGCTTTCGCTTGTTCCTGCTTCCTGATTGCTGATTCCTGCTGACATTATCGTTTATATCCAGCGACTATAGGGCTTTTGTCTGATTAAGATAATGGATCCCTTGGATTACCATGCTGCTTGGCGGGATGGGACGCAGCAACACGCCGTAATGATTCTCAGTGCCAGATGCTGCGCAGACGCAGACGACCTCCTCGGTTGTCCAATTTCAGTTTCAGTTTCAGTTCCGACGTCGTCGTCGCCATCAACGTAGAGAGCAAGAAGGATATCGGAGCGCCAGGCGTCGTGGGAGCGTTGGTTGCACCTGAGGATGCAAGCGGGCACGGGTGCAGACTAAGTGTGATCCACACGCGTCGAACTGGGCCATGGTCATACAGATAACAATGTGGCCCGTGGGCGCCAGCGATCGGAAGACTTTCGCGTACATCGGGAGAGTGATATAGGATATAGGCGCAAGCAACATATAGTCCGTATCAACAGCAGTTACGAGTAGAGTACAATATTGCAGTTTGGTTGAAATGTAGATCTTTCACATGAGCTCCGAGTCACGCACTAGTTTTGCAGCCTTAGCAGAGCGAGGGGTAATGGCGCATTCGAAGGGGATGATGTGCCTGCCGATGTCAGCGTATGAGCACCCTAGAACGGAAAACCTGAATGGGATACGCACCTTGTGAATCCACCTTCCCACTGAATATCCTGCTCGATATCCCGACCGCGAGCATCCTTAGCTTTAGCGATATCAAAGCAGGAGAGGATCGACGCGACGGAGATCGCAAGGGAGTCCATAGCGAAGAACCGGCCGGGACATATCCTATATGCAGCCGAGTGCGTGAAACACAGGGCCGTTTAGTATACAATGGCGATACAGGAATGCTGACGTTGCGCTACACACCTTCGCCCAAATCCGAAGTTGGGGATGGGGTCCAGAGTCTTCGGATCGATTTCCCCGTCCTTCAGGAAGCGTTCTGGCTTGAATGTTCCAGGATCGGAGTAGACTTCCTCGTCTCTCAAGAGGGCCCTACGTGGTGATCAAGGTCAGGTAGTATTCCTGCGTCAGTCATCACCCGATGGAATCGAGTGCGCACCAGACGTTGACGAAGATCGTGGACCCTTTGGGTATAATATACCCCTTATACTCGTCGTCCATCGTGAGTCGGTGGGGTGCGCCTAGAGGGCGATCGTCAGGAATAGACCACGGCAAGAATGATGATAAACACTTGCCTAAAGGCAGCACCGATTGCCACCTAAGATCCACATAGAAATTATGAACTAGAAGGAAACGAAGAACAGACGGCATACCTCAATACCTCGAGCATGATGGCACGGACATACGGTAGGTGTGGTATATCCTCAAACGCGGGGAGTCGTGCACCAAGATAGGCATCGAGCTCCTCTTGGCCTTTCCTCTGCAGTCTGGATAGAGGAGCATCGCCGCCACGAATGTGTAGATCACTAGAGGCGATGTCTCTGCGCCCCCTAGTAGATACCTAAGCCAAGGTTGTACACTACGAATCCTGGAACCGTAAGCGCACCTGTATACGCAACCCATGTCACGTCCTTGATCAACTCTTCGTCTGGATGGCCGTCGATGCTGTGTCCGCCCAAGCTGCGAGATAGAATGCTCGGCTCGCCTTTCCCTTCGCGCTGAGAAATCATCAGGATCGAATCGATGGAGCAGCAATTAATGAAGCACCCACCAAGCGACTACAACCCTGTTGGTATGGAGCTTCTCTCATATCCGTGGTATGGGGTCGCGCCCGCTCTGCGTACGCCTTGAACCCAGCCCCCGGCATCCATGCGGGGATATACTTGAGGAACGGAAGCATATCAACCATGAAGCTCCCGGAGATTGCAGCGTCCTTCAAGTTTACGAGGGCTTTCCCAGCGCGCTCGACATTGGGATCGTCCTCACCCTGGACGTCTACACCGTATGCGATTGCGATGATGGTCGCTGAGAGAGTACTTGTCGCAATCTCAGCAAATATCACGACGCGCTGGAGTAAACTTACTAGTCGATATGATGAAGAAAGCGCTTCGGGTCCTCTAGCAGTCGCCGAAGGAGATCACGGGAGTACCACAGCTGCTTAGGGCGATGATTTGTTGAGCGTTCTGAATTGAATTCTTGCCAAAATGCGCGACGGCGCGCACGCCATGCATGTCCGTATGGTAGGAAACTCAACAGCGTTTTCCAACCTAGACTAGAAGAAGGCAGGTGAGTACGGGCTAGCACAACGTAGCGGCAGGTCCTTACAGCTCGTTCAACATGGTACTCAGGGGTCTCGTGTGTGAGTGAGTACGAAGTTCGCAGAGATAGACCCCATGACATACCTGTCGGAGTACAGCGCAGAACGCACGCCGAGGAGGTCATTCGCCGCTTTGTATGAGTTGAGCACGACAATTGGGCTCCCCAAAACATTCAGATAAATGATATCTGAATCTAAGAACGCATTAACCACCTTCCAATCCCACGTAACACCCGCTTACTATACTTCTTCGACCATTCATGATACTTTACCCACTGGTGTTCGGAGGGCATATCGAGCAGATTGCCGATTATCGGATAGCCCCTTGGCCCGGGAGGTAGAGGCAATCTGTTGCTGCGCCATCGTTTCAGACCAGCGAGAGCGAGAAGAAGTGCGAAAGCAATTAAGTAGATATCTGTCGACATGAGATGGAGTTTCGGTCTAGCAGAGACTAGCAGAATGCGGAGCTTATAAGTTGTAGTCCCATTGATACTTGAGAAAACAACTCCCTATTTGTGGATGATCACTCTAGTACGTCTGACGTGGGATACGGCGACGAGGCACACCGCTTGGTGTGACGATTCCACGTCGATTGAATGGACCGTGTGTTGGAGAGCAGCAATGGAATTTCCAATGGCATCAAATCGAGGGGCTTGACGATTCAGAATCTACTCAGTGGCAGAAATAGAGCTTTCGTGTGAGCGATATTGATCCGTTTCTTCGCATTCATAGGATAGTCACCACTTAGTGGCTTCTGAAGTAGACTCACGAGAAGTCATCGGTACATTTTAAACCCTTAAACACGCTGATAGATAGGTCAGTAATAGCCAATGAAGCCACAGCTCTCAAGCACTTACGGTGAGTGGTAATTGCCCATTCCTGGGACGTCAAGAAGCAAAAGAATGACAGACAACATATGGTCAAACTCCGCACCGACAATGAATCAACCTGTCTGCTCGCTACCATATATATCTATAGGCGGACTCAGTAGAGCCACCAAGGGCTCTCTCCTCAATAGTATTAGCACTGACAGTGCAGCTCAAGGCGTCGAGGTGGACCGTACGGATACAAGTATATAATTATATATTTCTATCACATATACTAGTAGTTGTAGTGAATATCAGAGCTTTCCGTGGATGCTTTAAGCATTTGCCGGCGCGATACCATCGAGGTTTGCCACAAAACAGGGGCTGTTACCTGATTCAGCCGTTTATGTCAACATAACCAAATAAACATATTTAGCAGCGGATTGGCAGTACCCATAAGTATTGTTCATTCCGTTCTGTCGCCTATTGTCCTGCCATCATGGCCGACATTACCTCTCCACGAAGACCTCTCACAGCTGCCAATAATTTTATCTCAGGGCTATACAGCTCAGCAACAATGCGTAGCGTCGTTCGTGAAGAATTAGCGGGCAAGGTTTCCAAAGATGATGCCTCTGTTTTCAAACGCCTCGACATCGACCAGGTGTCTGATGAATTCGTCGATTCTTGTTTCGAATTATCCATAATCCAGCATCGAGGCCTCTTCGACGAACTCAATAAGGTCGTGGTAGCAGCTGCCCAAGCCCGGAACAAAACGTTTGACCACAACACGCAACTCGAACAACGGGCGAAGGGGGATAGCTGGGAGGTGAAAATGTACCCGCCGCTTGTGAGTCCCCAATTTTCCACCTCTCGAGTAGAGTCAACCCCATCTTCAGCAAAAAATGTGCAACATCGTCACCAATTTCTCGCATCCAAGGGAGCGGAAAGCGATGAGGAACATCAAGATCGCTGCGAATAGGCAACTCAAGGGGGAAGAATATACAACTGGCTTTCCAAAGGTTGCGCCAGACGGAACCGGATCCCGCGCCCTCGAATGCGATTCTTGGTTGCAAACTGACTGGTTCGTGGAAATCAAACCGAAGGAAAGCCAAGGTCTCGCTGCGAAAGATGCTACCATATCCGAGGTCGTCTGCCAGGCCGCCGACTACGCTCGGCTCCACATGTCGTGCCGCCCTTTCCAGCTCTTCTCAGTCGGCCTCCTCATCTTCGGACGCAAGTTCATGGTGGGTATCTTCGACAGGGACGGTGTCTCGCTCTCTCCTATCTCCGACTTCTGCGACGCCGGTGAAGGTTTCAGAACTTTCATCAGGGTGATCCGCCAACTCGTCAGCCCCCGCCTCTCGGATATCGACTTCGGGTGTGACCCTACCGCTCAGCCTCTAAGCCCCTCATCTGATCTTCACGCTGCTGTGCGTGAGCTCGCGATTTCACGAGGGCTATCACCAGACTTCCCGCCATACGTCGTATTGTGCCCGAGAGAGTACTCGACGACGGTCAATGGCGTGACTTCCACAAAATGGCTACAGAATTCGTGGTTGACGGTTGGCCCCCCTATTTGGGTGTCTCTCTCCCTCATCGGCCGGGGAACGAACATTTGGCCTGTAGTCCCGCTGATTTGTAACTCTGGCAAGTGTAGTATCGTCGACGGTGCACCAATTTCGATCCTCAAGAATGCATGGCGCAATAGCGAACGCACTGGAGAGGCGTCCATCTATGGGAGTCTCGATGCCCCTCCCCCTGGCGTAGCGCGCTTTTTGCAAGGAGGCGACGCCCGGTTCGACGGTGAGACGGACATACCGATATCGGTGCACAATCTGCGTAGTCAATACCCGTACGGCGCATGGCTCCACAGAGTTGCGACGAATGCTGCAGCCAACGCTCCACCTGGGCCTGGGACTGGGACAGCCGTCCTCCATCGTCTTATCCTGCAGACCATCGGACGGCCATTGTGGCACTTTGGGAGCTATCTCGAGCTGCTGAAAGCATTCCGTGCGGCCATCGTTGGTAAGCATCAGATCTCACCATCATGCCTGTGTGCTCTTAGGATATTTCTTGGGGGATAGGTCATCAGCGGCTTGTCGCTCATGGAATCCTCCACCGAGACATCAGCGCTGGGAATATCATGATATCCGCCGACGATCATCCCGGTGCGGGCGAAGAAGGCTTCTTGATGGACCTTGAGTTCGCGAGGATTAATGAAGTTGTACATGTCACGAAGGCCCCTGGGGGTCCGCAGCGTACGACGTGGAGTGTTCCGAGGCGGGGCATCCAGATGACCGTACGAGCTCATCCTTCCCGATCGAGTTGTCTACTAATATAGACCAAAATTAGGGCACCGTGCAGTTCATGGCTAGAGAGATCTTGAACTCCATCGTCAAAAACAATCCAGTTGAACACACAGTATCACACGATCTTGAATCGTTTGCTTGGGTCTTCGCCTACGTCGTGCTTCGCCGTCTACTTCGCGATTCGGGAGATGAGACGAAATCGACATTCACAAAGGACGATCGATTTGCTATCAAAACGACGTACGACCAATCATTCGGCGCTCTGAAACTCGATACTGTGCTGACTCAACGTCGTTCACTGGGCGTGTTCGACTTGAGAGAAAATGGTATAGAAGGACTCGTCCCCGCCGCTATCACCTATTTTATGAAGGTTCTGGGAATGCTAGTGGCCGCAAACCACGCGGCCGCTCAGCCACCTGATCCGCGCTTTTCGGTCTTCATGGCTACCCTCCCGCCGATAGTCTCTCTGCCTTCGCAAACCAAAATGACGCACTTGCATTTTATCCAGCTCATCGACGCCACTATTCAAACACTTGTGAGCGAGGCGCAGATAGACGAATGATTGCCTTGTCGGTACTAGCGCGACATATTCCACTGCCTAAGGGACGACGGAGATTTCGTAGAGATGTTTGTGAACTTTGTAGTAAATATAGATCCTGGAGCATATCAACTCTCCGTTAGCACCGACGATTATCCTGTGTTAGGTGCGTCGTAGTTCGTATACGTCGTAGTCCAAACCGACTGTCCTTGGGTGATAGTCGCGTCCACAGACGAGGACGCAGCGGAGCTAGCAGCAACAGAGGACGACGCACTCGCCGAGCCGTTGTTAGCGGGGTTGTGGGCAGCCTTGAACAACTGAGCTTCGCCTTCGGGCCCAGGGTTTATCGCCAAGATCATTCCTACGAATCGAGGTTAGCTCCTCAGCGATTCGACGCACCGCCCGACGAAGAATTTGGCGAGCTTACAAGATGAAGTTACTACGTCGCCTTCCGCCGCGTTAACGTACGGGGAGTGCAGGCCAACTCTCCTCCGGCGCCGACGTATACGTCGTATGTAACGGCCAACACTGCAGAGGGCAAGGACAAATCTTCCAGCCATTTGCGTGGAGGTAGACAGGATATCGAAGAAGAGAAAAGAAGAGAGCACGAATTAGTCTTCAATTATCATCTCCACTTTCTTGATCTAGCTGAATAATTTATATGGTACAAGTCCACTTTGACGAAGAAACAAGAGAATTGGTACGTATATATATTTAAGCCTGGCGGCCAGTTCCAATACCCATACCGACACGAACTAAGGTTTCTAGAGACGCTTTACCGTTGATAAGCAGATCCTCGTCCCACTTTACGGCACCCTTTTCGAAAAGGATTACAATCGTTGAGCCACCTGACGAGTGAAGACGATAATCAGTCAACAGGAAGGGTCGGGGGGGGAAGGTTTATATGTTACCGAATGCGAAGTAACCGAATTCATCACCCCGCTTGACGAAGTCGCCTTCGTTGACCGTAGTCTTGATACTTCCGACCATCATTGCCCCAATGCAGACAGCCATGACACGACCGAATTGCGGACTGTCGATGGGAACAATCTTCCGGACATTCTCGCCATAGACATCCAACGCCGTGCGAATGGCTTGAGGCTACATATGATATTAGGCAACGAAAAAGTAAACGGAAGCAATGCTCACATTGACGGTGTAGTATTCGCCGTCGATGTAAGTCATGGGTCCAATCGTCCCGTCAACCGGAGAATGGAAACGGTGATAATCCTGTGGTGCAAGGCGGAAAATTGCTAGGGCGCCACCAGTATACTTGTCAGCTTCGGCCCTATACACATCGCCAAGTAGGCGAGCAACCGTGAACTCGCGCCCTTTGATCCATAGACGAGTAGCGTCGCTAACGGTCTCGAAAGCCATCATGCGACAGTCCGCAGCGCTGACCAAGCGGTAAGGGTTGTCGGGCTGCTCGATCGGTCGAGCGGACTTTTTGAGTTTCCTAAAACTGGTGTTGGACAAAGCAGATTAATTAATCAGAGGGCGTACATACCGATAGAAGAACTCGTTGAAGGTCTCTGTGCGCAAGGTCAGTCATTAGAGGCTATGGGTAGGAGGGCGAAGAACCCACTAAACGAGTCCAACGGGTCCAAGATTTCGTCGACTTTGAGGTTATGGAACTCGATGAAACCTGGGATATCGGCGGCTGATTGAGGGGCGTCATACTTCAATCCTTGTTTGATAGATAGAGACTTCAGGAGCCCACGAGCTGAACGGTAAGTTTAGCAGAAAAGGCGTTCGACAAGAAGCTAACTTACCTCTACCACCCTCCATCTGACTCTTGGCACCCTAGACAGAAAACGAGGTTATTCAACATCATTCGTGGGGAAGGCGATGCATTATACTCACCTTGTAAAGCAGACGTATCCCAAGCCGTACGTAGACTTGCATCTTCTCCTCCTCAAGCTGCCCAGTCATCCGATTCTGCACAATGATATTGGCAGAATTCTACACCTCGCTCATCAGAATACACAGAACCCATCGAAACGGAGTTAACGCTTACCGCTCCAAGCCTATAGTCACCACTGCTAATCTTCCCAATAATCTTCGTGTACCACTTCCGCTGCGCTTGACTGGCTGTCACAAAGTTACCAACAACGATCCTATCCACCCTCCCCCAGTCCTGGCTCGCGCAAATAGCTAGATGCGTGACGATGTCCATCTCCGCCTTGGAGTTCAGACGAGGACGATGGCATAGTGGGCAATTCTTCACGTTGATGACACGCTCGAACGGATCTTCGGTGACGTTCGCGATGGCAGCAGCCGCGGTATTGTCAGTGGTGGCTTTCTTCTTCCGCCTGAAACGGCCTTTCTTCGTTGTGGGAGGAGCAGTAGATGTGATAGCAGTAGCACCGGTTGGAGATCCAGACCCAGATGAGTCCTCTTCAACGTCCTCAGACGACGAATACTGATGCCCAGCTGCGGTGCCACCAGCCCGGGCAGCGTCCGTGAGTTTCATTTCTGCGGGCTCGGTGCTATACGCCGGAGGTGGAGGAAGCTTGTTCTCGTCGACATATCCGACGTTATTGAAGCTATGCGATGGGCCTGAGAAATCGAGGTTATCGAGGGCAACGCTCTGGCCCTTGTTATCGGAGGCGGTGAGGATCGGTGTAGCGCTGATGCTCGTGTCTGGAGCACTATCCTCCTCGTCTACGCGTCGCTTCTCGCTGTCTGGTCGGTTGAGTTCAGTCTCCAAGCACTGGATAGTTTCGTCCATAGTTAGCTCGTCGGAGCGTGGATCTTTGCCATGGCGCGTGAAGAATGAGTTCACAGTACTACGAGAGAGGGTAGACCCGAGCGAATCGAGCATCGAGGTCAACTCTAGATGAGAGATGGCCCTCGTGTCGTCGGTGTCGTATTGTCCGATGTATTGACGCCAGAATTGCTGACGCAAGGCAGCATATGGCTGATACTTCGCTCTGAAAGATATTAATCAGCCGCAGCGCCGGGTTGGGAGTGGAAATCGAAGACATACTTGACAGTGATAACAGGCTTATGCCTGGCTTCCCAAGCGACATCCTTCTCGGTGGCGAGCGGTAATTTGTACTCCTTCATCGGATGTCCTTCTGCCCCGATCGCGGCGTAGAGCCCGGTATTGGGATCCGGTTGCGGCGCGCCTTCAATCAAGTCGCTGACATCAAAGCTGGCGTCACCGACGTGATCGTTAGAGGAAAGCTTGTCCCAGTCGAGAATGCTCAGTTGAACCTTGAAGGCCGTCTCGTATCGTCGAACATGGAACAGGAGCTTCTCGTCCCAAACGGGGTTGAGGGAGTGCCGAATGACGCGCGTACGGAATACCTTCTTGCCGAAAGAGATGACAACGAATGGGTCCATGTCCCACCCCGTACGTGTCACTGAACAAAAGATAAGGATATTATCGTGGCACGCACAGAAATCACTCACTATTCTTAAGCCTGGGTAGGTCGTCTGCACCACGAATCTCCAGCATCACGATCCCAACGATATCATTCGACGCGCCGAAGTAGTACTCCCCGTGGGTTTTGTTCTTCCTGAAACGCTTCTTCTTCCCCGTTGACGCGGCGCCGACGTCGAGGTTTGAGGACGATGGCGTGGTAGCCGATGGCGTACTGGGGGTGCTAGTGCTGGGAGTACTTGCCGTCACAGATGACGAAGTGACATTAGACGACGCCCGCCTGAACTTCATCTTCGGGATGAACCCGCTCGACTTCGCCGTCGTAGGGACCGGGGTAGCAGTGGGCGGCGGGACTGGTGTCTTGCTCATCCCAGCAGGCGTGGGGGTAGTGGGTGAACCCAAGTCTCCCGAAACAGATGCGGGGAGGTCGAGATGGGGAGGAATAGGCTTCGGTCCGGACGTCTGAAGCTTCATTATTGCTGCCTTCTCTTCGGAAGGGGTGGGAGGAGTCGGTGGTGAAGATGTTGCGGTGGTATAGTCTGAGACTTCTTCTTCGTCCTCTTCCTCGTCGGAGGACTCCGAGCTCAACCCACCGTCGTCTTCTAGATCCAGTGCCGCATGGTGCGATCGTACGGTACCAACTCCCTCGGTCTACGTGATCGTCAGCAAAACCAACGTAGAACAAGAAGCGAACGTAAGTACCGGCGGGGCAGAAACTAAGGATGGCCTCGATCGCTTCACAAGCTCGGAGAACACATCATGGAAGTCCACCGGAATGGCAGGGTTGGGTGATACGAACCCGAGCTTAACCTTGACAGAACCCGTCGCGTGGGTGTTGGCTCTCGTCGAATCAAGGTTGATCGAGAACGGCTAGAGCAATTAACTTAAATGAAGAGGTGAACATGGTGGAAGATAAAGGAAACGCACCTGATTGCCCGAATCGTCGAACGCAAATGCCCTATCTGTCCCATTCGCCCGGTCAACGAACCAGTCCTCCAGAGGTAGCGATACCTCTCCCAAGTAGTCCTTCGACATCAAATCTTTGTCCCACACGATGAACTCCACAACGCCAAGTTTATCCGCTAGTGACAGATAAAGAGGGTAGTCGAACGTCGCGTCCTTGGCTGCGTACACCGGGTTGACCGTCCTCTTCGCTACGGGAGTCTGGTGCCGCGTGTTCAGGATGGATACCACCACGAAGCTGCTCGACCGTAAACGGTGCAAAAGCCGTGACAACAAGGATGACTCACGGATCGCTGAAACCATTGCTGTCCTTCGCCAGAACGTCCGTACATCCCAGCACCTGCAATCGGCATATCACGACCGGCTGCTCGCCTGGCAGCGGCGAAAACCCGTTCCTCCCGCTCCCTTTGATGCGCGCCAGCGGTCGAGCAGCGGACTTCAGTGCCTTCCGAATCTTGGCTCCTTTCTTGTTGGTCGACGACATCGTCTTCGGTGTATTTGTGGTTGGAGTAGTATAAGCTTGTTATTTCCGTAGCCGCTCCTTTCTTGTATGTGTCCAGTTCCTCGAGTGGTGGTAGTTATCCGTTGGAAGAAAGAAGCTAGATGATGGGCGCTGAGCGCTACGAGATATATCCTGAGACAACCGCCGCCCACCTCACTGCCCTAGCCAAGAAGCCCGCGTCCGAATCCGGTTGGCAACTAACTCTTGTTTCAGTTCAAGGTTGCGTAGAGCTCAAGGCAGGAACGCACACGCACCGTGACCGCGCGCTGCGTCTCGAACCTCGAACCTCCTGTCTTTTTCCGAACCCAGAACCCTTATAATCCACAATCACTGATCCCCTTGATCGTATCTCGTCGTATCGTGTGTCTAACTTCGCGCTGTCTTCACAGTCGAGACTTAAGAGTGTGGGCGATGGGCTTGATCTCAGTGACAGACGTGGCAGTGGGCGTGGAGATGATGATGGTGGTCTTGGTGAAAGAAGTTGACGTTGGAGGCGCTCGCGAGTAGACCCCACGATTAGCTCCCTTCACTTCAGTCAGCGTGAATGACCGGCGAAATTCAGGGTCGCCGCGAGGACGCATCATAACTGTGACTGCGAAAAATATCTCCGTCGGATCAATTTCACCATAATATTGATAATACGTCTTCTATAGACTTTCAATAGAGGAGCGAGAAGACTCGCAATTAAATCAAAGGGGCACGTTGGTAGATTCGAAGGTATATAAGCTGAATAAGTCGGGGTAGGTGAAGGGAGGGAAAATTCCAAATAGGAGTGGGCGCGAACACCATAACGTAGCAGTCGTCGCAAGTCATGAATAAACTAGTACGTAGTCCAGAGTTCATGACAAGAAGAGGGCGGAGAAGACAACGCCGATGAAGGACACCAATCCGGACATCATAACGACACTAGCGTCGTTGGAGGTCGCGTTGGCGCCTTGGGCAGTACCAGAGGGCGTTCCCGAAGATGCAGCAGATCCTCCACGGGAGCCGGTGACGGAGCTAACAGCGGCGGAGCCGGTCGCGGAACCAGTAACGGTCGCAGATACCGACGCACTGGTGCTTGAGCTTGAGGACACCCCTGGCGCAGCTGTAACGCTGGCAAGGGCGGCGAACAGCGCAGTGCTCTGGAACTGCACGCAGTTGCTGGAGGCGGGGACCCTCGGCTGATAGGGCATGGTGGAGATGGCTCCGAGGGACTCAGGAGGTTGGGTGTACGTGACGACTTGGCCGTTGGTAGTATATACACCCGGGAAGTCCTGATTCTCGCCTTGGCAAGACTCGAAGACACCTGTCTGAGCGTTGTTGGGGGCGTTGTACGCGCATCCGATACGGTCGAAGATGTGCTGACAGTAGTCGGCTGCATGCGACTTGGAGGGATCACAGACCTTGATGCAGAACGCATTGCCACCCATGAAGCTGCCAGAAATGAGATAAAAGAACGACGTTAAGTGCGGAAAGACGTACTTATGCCATTCGATGACTTGTTGGAAGGTGTTATTGTTGCCAGACCATGCATTCGAGTACATCAAACCACCAAGAGGGTTACCGCGCTACAGCGATCCCAAGTCAGCGCCAGCACATGAATAATAGTTCACGCCACTCACTAAATCGGCACCATGAGGGTCGAGCTCACCACCAAAATCGCCGTCAGCGATATTGATCTTGGTCTGATCGATGAAGCCGACGACTTGGACGTAGTCGGGCGTGCGCATGAACTGGATGCCCTTGAGGGTACCCTCTGGGATAACGCGAGTACCGCGTCCAGGCTTGGTACACCACGCGACCTCCTCACCCTCCGTGTTCGAAATCAAGGAGTTGGGCTCAATGGGCGCCCAAAGACAGAAATCTACCCGCGGCTTCAGCCGGCCGTTCACGCCAAAAAACTCGACAGTCGACGAGGAGTACTCACCATCAGCGCTATTCACAAAAGAAGTCTGGCAGAGCGAGTTTTGTCCCTCCGTGGTTGAGTTGCATTGATTGTAGCCAGTCTGAGTTCCTCGAAGGAGATGTTCGGAATCGGCTTGGTATGGCTAAGATTCTCTTGAGTATGGTCTTGGCGGCAAGGGAAAGTACGTTTACTTACAAGTCCAGTGGGGTAGGCAAAGTGCTTCGACGCAAGAGGCGTAGCGGGGAAGGTTGCTACGGCGCCGTCCTGTGCGTTGGCAAGGGAGTTGGAGAAGGAGGCCGCGATGGCCAAGAGTGCGACTGAAAGAGCGACGGGAGACATGGTCTCAAAAACGATTTAGACTTTGGAAATAGGTACGTATGTCAAAAAAGACCGGGAAGTAGAGAACCCACGTCGACGGCGACGAGGACGAAGATGATGAGAAAGTTTGAAAACAAGGAATCCTCCCTTTTATTTCAATCGGAGCCAATACCGAAAATGTAAATTTAGAACCGCAAACGCCGCTATTTTTATCCAGGGCGAAATGATGCCAACAACCAGCCAATTACAGATTGAAGGGGTTTAGACGAAGTATATGAGCGAGGAGCGGCAGGATGTTGGGAGATACAGAAGACCCATATATCGATACTGTTTACTTGAGTTCTGAATATGTAAATTGCAAGAATAGGTGGCGCAGGGCTCTGCAACCGGCAGACGGGTCAGCAACATGACAACCTTAACAAATTGGAAATTGGAAACTTAACTTGAGGACGAAGCACAGGTCAACATTCCGTAGAGTCTCTTTCAGGATCATTAGCGGAAATGGCCGAAAGGACAGACTCTAACTGATGGAGGTGAGCACCTGTGGGGACGATCGTAAGGAATGGAGTTTATGATTGACAACCTACAGTGTCGCTAACAACGGGCGTGGGCGGTGAGGGAACCCCGCTGCGATCGCCTTCCGTGGCTCATCAAAAACGGTAGCGATGAAGACGATGCTGCAGATCCTGACGTAGAGTTACACGCTGTTGGGCACTGATAGATTCCTGTGAGCACGGATAGTCGTTGGAGGGCAGCAACTTACATTTATGATTGCCTGGACGAGGGGCGGATCAGGCCGAACTTAAGCCTTTCTCACATCCCCACGCTGGCCGGTCGGTAGGAACGAACTGGGCTTGCATCGAAGATCGTGACTTTTGAAAGAAATGAACATGGACCACTTGGTATATATGCACGGTTCAAATACTACCCAGAAGTCGAGGCGAAAACGATGTAAACAAACAATGAGTGCATACGATAGGGCATAGAGATTCAAGCGAGAGAGTTGAGCTGAATGGTAGCCAGGATTCACGACTTGCGATATGGGGTACACGAGACGGCCACTTGAGCCCTACGTTCAATGAAATCAAATGGGCAGGCCTTGTAGCGCCGCCCAGCAATAAGACCGTATGAATTTCGCGATTGCGTGCGACGTTGGTTGGAACGGACATGAGAGGGTGGAGGGAGCGATGGTAGACGAGCGGGGAGCAGAGACGCTGGCTGTAAATCAGCGGAGTGTGTAGGGCAATAGGGTTCCTCAACGGCGAACGAGAAATACGCGTATGAGATGAGGTATCGAACGGGTGAAGCTCCAGGAATTGAGTTTCGTGCTGTTTGGACGGTAAAAGAGCTGCACGGGTGGAGTCCTGAGAGCCCCGACGGACAGGCGATGCATACGATGAGCGACAGCAGCAGGGCACCAACAGCCAGATGTACGTGGGCAGGACGATCCACATTAGCCAGTAGTAGTATACGTCGTGTCTTTCGAGCTGGGGAGCGACTTCATAAGCTCGGAATGGAAGAGAAACGTTGAGAAGAACGCACCAAGTCCCCAACGTGGCGCTGGCTCCTTCAACATACTGATATTCGTCTTCAGCACTCGGGTATTCTGGCGAGTGTAGTGTATGAAGCACCGGTCTGTGCGGATTCTCGAGTGCCAGAGTGCCTCCATAGCTGCGGTGAGCGATGGCGGAAGAGTGGTAACCAGTGATCCCAGTCTTTCCTCAACGGATAACAAAGCCTGCATATATGGGTTCAGCATCACCGGCGAGCATCTACCGGGAGAGATCCCCATTACTTAACGACATACATGGTCCGCTCGTTGGGCACCAGGATACGCATCTAGGGAAGGTAAGGGTCCGGCATCTCCAGCAAGACGTCGACGATCGCTTCTTCGAGCGGTTGGCGAGGGTGACGAGGGCATTCCAGTCCTTTGCAGCTGCGCGGACATTCTCATTAACAACGTTTTCTCGGAGAGCATACTCCAGGCATGCAATCGAACAGAAGGGCAGGTCGGAAGAACGGACCCACCCAATCCAATCCATCGTAGGCGTACGTATGTGTCCTCGAGCGTTGCTCAGAGGAAGTAGGAGGGGCAAAGTCTGCTTGTTCTGCATATGACGATGAAGAAACTTCACACACCGCTACTTCTGGTGAAAGTTTTGGGGGCGTGATAGATACGAGTTGGGCAAACAGTAACTGAGCAGAAGCTGGAGCAAGAGTCTTTGTACGTCAAGCTACGCTTCAAAGCCCTATATACGCTGCAGAGTAAATATCTTCGTACCTGGCAATTGCTTGCAGTGAACCCGTATACGATGAACTTCATGGCGCCAGGCGCTTAGATGAGATAATTACTCAGAAAGAAGTCGACGGCCAGGTCTTTGGTACACTGAGGTACGCAGGCCTAAAAGCACCGTCCAACCGTCTTTTCTTCTGTGGAGGAGCAGTGATGATGATACATTGATGATCGAAGAGTTCAAGAAAAGGGCGCGAAGTGATTGTGACTGTGAGAGTTAGTTTCAAACTCCGAAATATTTGGTTCTCAGCAAGTCCGGCCCGGGGCTCCGGATTGACGCCCATCAAGCTCAGCATCGTTGCTCTTCTGCCAGCATCAAGGACCGCCAACCGTCCGTTCGGAACCATATAATCATCTGGAACTTCCTCCTTGTCACGAAATTGTCTCTACACCTCTCATCGAAGTCGGTAGCGTCCTGGGCTTCATTTGGGGCCGGTTCGGTGTACTCCGCGGGTGCTGAGGCACGTATATGGGGTTGGGGCAGTTTGATTGGGACAGGTACGCCTTGTTAACGTTTGCTTTGCGATCTCAAGTTCACGAACTCGTTTTCTACAGCGTACAAATGGCCAACGACGAACCAATATTGCTACAAGCTATGCTGGGTAGTTCGAGATCCACGGCAAATATGGGCGGTTCTTCTATCCATATTTGATGCCTGACGCGTCTGGGAGCTAGTACTGGGATCCGGGTTCTTGTCAAGCGAAGGTAACAACTTGCAGTACGTGCCGTCGACGCTCTGTTATTCGAGTCGATCTATACCTTGAATCGTAGAACCTACCGGTCGTACCCATCTTAAAACATCCTTGAGTCGTAAAATGACCATGGGCGCTGCTCCTGCACATGTAGAACTGTAGGGAAGGAATGCTCGTGATAATGCAACTCCCTTCCCTCAGCCTCGAGTCGCGTCGTAATAGACCTTGTCTGGATGCGGCATTTCGGCTCGGTGCTCCTCGTTCACTGGTGGCACCCGCTCCGTTCGCATTCCAGCTGGCGCGGCGCGTTGTATAGTGCAGGGAGGTCTATGCAAGGACTCATTTGCGTGGCAATTCAGAAGAACCTAGTGTATGCCCGATCGCCCCTCGCGAATTTTACTATTGATCACCGGGGCTTTTCGTCCCAAGCCGTCTCCGTGTTTCTTCGTTGTATTCAGACTTCTCGCCCTGCTCTTCGTCGCATCCGCTTCCCCGGACAACTTCGTCTTGCGGTCTACTTCTACAACCCTGTTTGGCCAGTCTTTTCCATGATATCTCCTCGACTTCACAATTTGTGGACCTTGGGGCAAAGGTCTCTTGGGACGCAAATGGGATGGAAGCAGTCGCCAACCCGCACGTACCATCGTTCAGCCGTTCGCGATGCGAAAGCACGGCGCCGCGTCGTGAAAGTCGACGAGCAGCGGATAATTAGCACGCGTAGAAGCGCGTCAATAGGTAGAGCCTCCACAGTGAAGGGAAGCTACGAGGAGGTAAGAAGTTGGGTGGAGCGATACAAGGGTACTAAAAATGGCTAGATGAGTTACCCTTCCCCAATCGCGGGAATGCTTTCCAACGAACGTGGTACAATGAACAAGCCGCTCATGGATCCTAGATACTTGTCCCGGCCTCTCGCGCGCAAAACCTGTCATACCCACTTGGTTGTAGAGCCCGTGATGCTCCTCCCTCCAATTTCCGGGAAGCCTCCGTGCCCTCTTCTTGTAGTCAGCATCATCGCATGGCCATTATCTACGAGCACCCCCTCGGATCATGGCTTCGTCGTTTATTTCCCCACTACAATGTAACGTGCAAAACCATTCAAGCGTTTTGCAGCTGTCGATCCACTTCTGGGACTTCTATTTTTACATTTTGCCTTCTCATTTGTCACCCCCACTCTGGTCATGGTTCGCCTCCGGAAAATCTCTAGCCTCGATAACATCACGCGCCGTCAACGTCAACGTCAATTTCGCAACGCCCTCTAGGAAGGTCGACAAAATTAGAACAGAACGATCCGTAGTGTTTCCGCCTCTCTATGCTAATGCCGCCACGCTCACTTCATACGCTCTTCCGCTCACATGTCCACCATCATTGATCCGACATTTAGCATACTTGCGCTTTCGACTGAAGCGACGTTTATGCGACTCTCCCCGCCTACGGAAGAATCCAAATCAGACGTCTCAACGTGGAAAGCAGATTCTCACCGTCGGCAACGATGGACGGCATCTCCAGGTCGTGTGTCGGGTTGTTTTTAGCCCTAGCTGCGAGGTGAGCATATATAACCTCGTTCGTCGTATGCCATTCTGATTCAACACAAAGTCCGAAGGCGACGAGCACTTAGTAGCTCGTTCATCCTCCAGCTATGCTTGGTCTTTCCGCAGCAGCCCTTGTCATCGCATCCGCCTTGGTACCCCGTACCCTCGCTCACGGCGGTGTTCTATCCTACTCCATCGCCGGAACATGGTACGACGGATGGAAACCGTACAACAGTCCCGTGGGTCAGTCCACTATTCAGCGACCTTGGGACACATAGTGAGTTACTTCGCCATGAACTCATACTCGGTAGCTCGCTCGGTAATCTGATATGTGGATTATCTTAGCAACCCGATACAAGACCCTACTGTAAACACTCTTGCGTGCAACGATGACGGTACATCCCCCGCTGGCCAGCTCACTGCAACCGTCGGCGCGGGCTCCCCCATCACCGCGTTCTGGAACACCTGGCCACACGACACCGGCCCAGTCGTGAGTCCCACTTCTTTCTCAAAGTTGAGTCGTACACTGACTAACATGAATTTGTATCCGCTTGCAGCTCACCTACCTCGCCCAATGCCCCGGATCTACGTGCACTGGCGTGAACGCGAACTCGCTGAAATGGGTACGTTGCCTCCCTCTTTCTCCTCTTCCCTCTTCTTCTCTAAAGACTTTCCATGATGCGTCGTAGTTCAAGATCGACGAAGCAGGCTTGCTCTCTGGATCGGTCGGCGCTGGAACATGGGCAGCTGGCAAAATGATCGCCCAGAACAACAGCTGGACTTCAACCATCCCCGCCTCCGTGCCCTCTGGCAGTTACTTGATCAGATTCGAGACCATCGCCTTGCATTCCATGCCTGCCGTACGTACCAAGCTTCTCGTTTTCTCAGTCACTAGTATTTATCGACATCTTCTATAGCAATTCTACCCGGAATGCGCGCAAATCACGATCACCGGAGGTGGTTCGCGGGCTCCTACGCTGCGGAGTTAGTTTCGTTCCCCGGAGCCTACAAGGCTTCTGATCCAGGAAGTACGCGTCCACCCTCTGCATAAACAAGGTTCTATGTTTTCTTACGATACCCTTCTTAGTCACAATCGACCTCTATACTCAAGCCGCAACATCTCAAATGACCTACGTAATCCCAGGCCCTCCTCTTTACGGCGCTGCCTCTGCTCCTCCCTCCAACCCGAACCCCGGTTCGACAGCCGTCCCGACCTCCCCGGCCACTACCAACGCGCCCTCTTCAACAGCTGCCCCCGGAACTGTCGCGCAGTTCGGTCAGTGTGGAGGTATTGGATACTCCGGAGCTACAGGATGGTGAGTCCCTCTATGTAGAATGCGTCGGAGCGGTCGCTGATCATTGGTTCTTTCTTCAGTATTGCTCCATTCGTTTGCACGGCTTTGAATGGTACGTTCACACCTTTCCTCATCCACTACTTCGCCTTTAATTGCATATTCGCAGATTATTACTCTCAGTGCCTCTAAGCCGAGACCTCAATGCCCAAAGTTCCTTCTACTTTCTTATATTCGTCACGCCTGTATTCCTCGTTCGTCTTCGCCTGTGACCTTTGTATCAACAACAAGTGCATCTAATTCACTTAAATTCGATAAAGTGGCATCTCATGGAGACACATAGTAGCGTCGAGACTCGTAAGCCAGGATGGTAAGAACTCCTGTGAACAACATTGGGAGGACGAAGGGGAAGTGTCCGACTAAGCAGACCAACCAGCCGCGAGGCTTAGATGCACGAGAACCTGTATCATGATTCGGCGAGAAGAGACATATCCGAACCGGTTGGTGCATTTTGCGAGTCAGTTTTTCTTGACATGGCAGCGAGTCTGCCGCTGTGCGCTCTGTTCCCAAACTTGTGCTCTCTACGCGTACCATGCGCAAGCACGGTCCGCTTCACGCCTGCAAAGGGAGTCTGGCCTATAACGACTACAAACGCGAGAAGCAGCTCGTCGTGAATCCCAGACTATCCCAAGGATACTGCACCTCTACAGGTCCACACATGTTGCATGGCGTCGTATCGATTCCAGGTCTTCGTGGTCAACAGCTGACATGCGCTGGGGCCGACCGTGAGGAGTGGAAGCTAGTCGGCGGAGGTGTTGGCGAGTGATTATCGGAGGGGCCGTCCCGACATCTCGGCTCGGCTCAGCGGCGTAGATCGAACTAGGTATCCTCCAACTTCAACGTAGGTGCCGCCCCTCCCGAGCTTCGAAGCGGCGCTACATATTAGGTCAGGGACATGCTCGACTCACTGGCACTCACCAAACTCGACTTTCACATCGGTGAATGTGCTGATTAATGACGCCGATCGACAGCAACAGTCGTATAAGGCTCTCAAATAGGGAGCAGCTGAACTCCGAGCAATCCAGATTCAAGCAAGCTGAAAAACGTACCGTCAGTCCATCCAAAAGCAAAAACGAATGTAAACGAAGATTGTCGTTGAAGTAGCATTGGGCGAAACCACGGGCTGCTATTGTGTTGGATATGCGAGGGCCGTCAGCGAAGAAGGGCCGGATGTGAATACGAATAACGCACCCGCACGTTGGGATGATGGACCTCATCCTGGATGAGCTACTAGGCATCCGGAAGGCGGGAGCAGATGGTCTGAACTGTGTATTTAATGCTTCTATTCAGTCGAAGGTCGATATCGATGTTGCTGGTGGGGATTCGATCTGTTCGACCTCAGGTCCTCTACATCTTGAAAGCTTCAATTCATACTCAGTCGTTTGTATGTCGAGGTTGCAGCCGCTTTCGGTAGGCCCGTGGTTTCCAAATGACCAGGATACCTGAAGCCTGATTCTCGCGAGTCAAGATACACCACCCTCGTGATGATGTCGAGGAGCTCATGCACCCAAACTTGGAGCAAGGGAATGGAAGGATGACCTGCCGTAACGCGGCACGCATGGAGAATACGCGTGAGGAGCTTTTGATCAGGAGCCGAGCCTTCAATAGAGTGAAAACCGGCTACATTGGGGACTGAAGTAGTCTCGCTGGCTGCGTCCCAAGGAACAGACGACGGTAGTAGTAGAAATAGATCGCATTGGAAACGAAGACGCAACAGACAATCAGCGATCCATTACTACGCCGGAGAGTTTTCTGTAAATGATTCTCTTCGTTCTCATAAACGACGGACTCACCCTCCCCTTCGCGCGGCCACTCCTTCGCAATTTGGTCACGTTCAAATTACTCGGCGTTCTTCTGGCCAAGCGCCCCGAGCCTTCGGTCCCCCGTCACCTCAGTGCATACATGGAGTACTTTGGAATTTGAACGAGGTTGTACGTTTGAATACGCATCGTCCTTCGCGCGCAGCCCGTAAAATCGAAGAGCTGGGTGGAGTAGGAGGATACGTGCTCGTAAGAAAGCAGTTCAGGGCTCTGACTAGGTCGTGCAAGCTATATGAAGGTTTCATGGTGGGCTATCAGTAGTGTCCTGGTGGGTGCTTGAGGCCGGAATGAGGTCAGTATGGGCGCGTTGAATCTTGAATGTCGCTGTAAGACACCGCTGAGATGCCAGCACGTCGGGCCGTCTGTTGCATTGGCGGAAAAAGGACGTCGACGCGAGCAGCCCTGCGCACGGACCCCCGAATCCCGATGTTTGGTTTTGGGTTCCCGACCAAGCAAGGGCGGGATCTCCCTTCGTCAAGCCTCCATGGTTGGTTTTACCGATCCGCAGTCTTCTGCATCTCATCGCCATTTTCAACTCTGCATCAGTCATTATGCGGGAGAATCATAACGAGGTGCGTCTGCTGTTCATGCCGCTCACACAGTTGTGCTGAATCGACGCAAACCTCGGCCGTTGCAGGCATTCAGGTCATAGATCAGAAGGCTGGAGAAAGGATCTCGACGTCGGTGTCCTCGAGGATGCAGAAACTACAGTACTATGATCGTCGAGCACCGCTTCTCTCAATCATGTTTACGCGATACGCTGCTGTTGGGTGTCACTCGAAATATACATTTCGAGCCACTTTCGCTATGTGCGGTCGTCGAGGGCCACAGCTACGTATAAAAGGACGAAACCTCCATTTGACTCCACAAAGTCTAGTCTGCGGTCCTTCCACTTTACGCTGTACGCCAACCATACTGACTGATCCACGCTTCTAGGAACGCCATAACGCAACAATGTAGCTCACTTCGGTACCCCACACTCAGGTGCGCCATAGACACCCCATCACCACCTGGGAGCTGCCATACGCTATGGGGACCGCTGATCCTCTTGGCGCGTTTGAAGTCTAAAGGACGGTACTGCCGCCTTGCCCGGCTCGGGCTTCTAAAGTATAACCCGCACCGACCGTGGCCGCATATCCGGGAGTGGTATAAAGGTCGTGCAGTCTTGTTCCTATTCCCCAAACGACCCCGTTTGGACTACAGTGAGTTCACAAATTCGACTACGTTCTGAATCATAGAACTAACATGCCTCCGACAGCTAGCAACCCATGTCTTCTTACAACATCCACCAGAATCTTTACAGCCTCGTGCTAGCATGCAACATCGCGACCGGCTGTACGGGCACCCAAGCAGAACTCCAGCAGAAAATGGACGACGCGCTGCAGCCCTCTATCAACGATCTTGGCATTGGCGCATGGAATGTCGTCTGGGGACCTGCGGTATGGAAACTACACCCTGACGAAACCTACAACGCTGCCGATCACATCTGGTTCGTCGCCCGCGGCGCAGATGTCGATAACGGCAGCAATGCGACATACGTGATCGCCATCGCAGGGCTTGCCGGCAAATCGGCAGCCAATTGGGCAGAAGTGCTAAACACTGCTCAAGTCGTCGATTTCGACACATTTTGCAAGGACGCTGGTTCGCCGCCTGTAGCTGCTGCGCCAGAATCCCTTGACCCGCAGAAACCCTACATTGCGCTCGGGATTGCGAATGGCGTTTATCGTCTATTGAACGCAGCCTCAGCTGGTCAAGGGACGACGCTCACCCAGTTCCTTGAGGACATTCCTTGCGATAGCCGCGTCATTTTCACGGGCCAGAGCCTTGGAGGAACGTTGTCATCGACACTTGCTCTGGCCGTTCTTCAAGGCGGCACGCTCAAGAATGTATCCCCCGACAAAGTCCTTGTTTACTCGGTCTCCTCTGGTACTTCCGGGAACAGGCCATTCGCCGACCTCTTCGCCACATCATTCCCCCTCATCTCCGTAGGCGAGAATCCATACGAAGTGTGGAATGCAAATATCTGGAACAAGTACGATATCGTCCCCCGCTTCTGGAATACCGGCTCCGTCGAGGAACAGAATATGCGGGCTATTCCAACTGTATATGGGGCACTGCCTGCGCCACTCCCCCTTCTGGTGTCTGAAGCAATCGAACTCATGATCGCCAAGCATGTGAGGCCGTCGCTGGTTGATTATGTGCCCATCCAAGGAATGATGTTTGTTCCCGATGACGCGCCACCTACACCGAAAAATCTGATATGCTTTATCCGCACCGCCCTTACTCAACACATTACGGCGTACGTCGACTTCTTTGGGGCGCCTGCCCCTCCTCCGCTATCCAAGGCATCCGGCCTCGCAGAGGCGCCGATCATCAGTCTTTTCAACGACACAAGCATGGCTGTTGAGGAAGGGGAGGGTGCACGAACGGAGCTCCGTGGAGTCGACGTGCTACTTGGTGCATAGTGTGAAGCGCCTCTATGGCATCCGCCCGACTTACCCTTCCAGCCTTCATTTGCGTATTCATCAAAAGATTCAATCATCCCTCTGACAATGGACGCGTCTATAGAATGGCTGGGCGTATACCGTAGCAATTCGTATTCACGACTTCGTCTATGTTCATTTTGTCAATTCAGAGCGAATACACAGGGTGGTCAAATTCTTCTCGTTTCTTCATCCCAGTCCAGCGTAAAGTTTTCTGCGATGGATTCCACTGTGTTGGGGGATATATTGCATCGACGGATCTTGAAGACGTTGGGAGGGATCCCGAGGTCTAGGCGTTGTTGAAGAAACTCGCAGATACGACCGGACGTGAGCGGCGATTGTGACCCACGGCTGTCAAAGGTACATCCCCGCAGCTTTATGCTCGTTAACCTGGGGAGTACACCGTCCAATTGTTGTTGTCCGACATCTTCCCCTCCACGCGTAGTGTCTATCAATGCCTGAACAACGAGACTATTCGTTAGGAGCTCCAGAATCAGAGTCTCCACTTGTTGATGCCGTATGAATAGGTCCTTCCATCTCTCGGTCCGCGATGGGAGTAATTTGTGAAGATCGAATAAGGACGCTCCTATACCCCTCGCTCTGTTTTCGCAATGTATGTCAAGTAGAGCGACACTCCCAGTCGGAACCCAGGGAGCCTAGATGAATCCAATAGCCACATGCCATCGGCCAACGCCGCCGACGCGCTTTGTGCAAAGTGTGAGAGAATAGCAGATAGTATCTTGATGTGATCCGTATCATATGGACCATGGACAGATCGGAGCCGCACACACGTCGAAGCAGGGTATTGAATCCTCTGAATTAGGCCTGCCACGTCGACGAGGTCGATGGACCGGAGAGAAAGCGATGAGAGGTGGGGGAGAGCGACAGATGCACGTTCGACTTGATTGTGCCCTTCTTCGGGAGCTAGGGGAGAGGAACTCCACATTTCAAGTTCCCGCAGGGCCGGAGTACAACGGAGAACCATCAGAACTTTGGACGATGAAAGGAATGTGTTCGGTTTGATGATCCGGAGTTTCCGAAGAAGAGGGAACACTGGCAAGAATTGTACGGGTTGGAGCGATATGCTGTGGAGTTCGAGGGTCTGAAGGCTCGGCATATCCATGCTGAATACGCCTTCAAAAACAGCCACAGTGCCAATACCTGGCCCTGTCTCTCCTCGCAGTGCTAGCCGCTGCAGATTCGGAAGAGATTTCTTCTTCATCTCTGAGCCAACGCTAGCGATAGTTGCCAGAGAATCTCCAAGGTCACGCATACTAATGTCTAAACATCGGATTCTCGAAATCTGCGATATCGTAAGATGCAGAGCCTCGAGGTTAGGAGCTTGCAGACATTCGATATATAGCGGCGCTTGTTTCGTGCGTTCTAGCATTGTGACGGCATGGTCGAGAGAATCGATTTTGGATAGGTTGATTTTGTTCCATGCTTCGCTTGTGTCGACAAGGACTTCGCGCCAGGTATGGCAGATGCCGCCAACACTAAGAGAGTTGTCTGTCCATCTTACTAGGACGAAGATTTTGGCAAGAATCTCGCTGGGTAGTTTTGAGATAGGGCTATATATGTTTCTACGGCCACGCAGTTCGCGAAGTTCGGCCTCATGTGCAGCAATTTCTTCGTCAATAATGTCTTGGGCTGGGCAATTCAAGGGTGCTTTGTCGTAGATATCTTAAGGGTGATTAGTAACTCGGACGACGACAAGAACTTGATTAATGTATCATACTGCAGGCATCTTCAGACTCTGAATTGCTGAACTCCGACTCTGATTCGAAATCCGAGAACATGTTGATTCTTGCTGACTAGACGATTGAGCGTTTGATGCGTTGCGGAGAATCAGGATATATCCCGATGTTTGGCCTGGAGGAACCTTGCCAAACAGCGTGAGTCGAAGCCGAACATGGACTGCCATCGTTCTAACTTCTCAGGCCATGCAAAGAAACCCCAAACTCTTTCAGCCATGATCAAAGACGATAGAGTTTGGTGATAGAACGGCGTTACTTATCGTTTTGCCGTCGCTATTGTTCTACTTATCCGATACACAGATTCCTCTCTCACATTTCCATCAAGTATGTATCCGCCCATGACTCGGCCTTAGTCTCCAAATACGTTCCTTGCCATAGGCTCAATAGCCTCCACGTCTTCGCTCCGACTGGAGTGAGACTTAACGTTGGATTGGATGGATATTCTGTCGGTGAGTCAGCAGTCACGCCACAGCTGATAGATATATATGGCAGCGAGCAGACAGGTCGATTCATTGTCGGTGCGGAGTTTGACCATATGTTGTCTGTCATTCTTTTGCTTCTTGACATCCCAGGAATGGGCAATTACCACTCACCGTAAGTGCTTGAGAGCTGTGGCTTCATTGGCTAACACCAACCTATCTATCAGCGTGTTTGGGGGTTTAGAATGTACCGATGACTTCTCGTGAGTCTACTTCAGAAGCCACTAAGTGGCAACTGTCCTATGAATGCGAAGAAACGGATCAATATCGCTCACACGAAAGCTCTATTTCTGCCGCTGACCAGATTCTGAATCGCCCTCGATTTGATGCCATTGGAAATTCCACTGCTGCTCTCCAACACACGGTCCATTCAATCGACGTGGAATCGTCACACCAAGCGGTGTGCCTCGTCGCCGTATCCCACGTCAGACGTACTAGAGTGATCATCCACAAATAGGGAGTTGTTTTCTCAAGTATCAATGGGACTACAACTTATAAGCTCCGCATTCTGCTAGTCTCTGCTAGACCGAAACTCCATCTCATGTCGACAGATATCTACTTAATTGCTTTCGCACTTCTTCTCGCTCTCGCTGGTCTGAAAAGATGGCGCAGCAACAGATTGCCTCTACCTCCCGGGCCAAGGGGCTATCCGATAATCGGCAATCTGCTCGATATGCCCTCCGAACACCAGTGGGTAAAGTATCATGAATGGTCGAAGAAGTATAGTAAGCGGTGTTACGTGGGATTGGAAGGTGGTTAATGCGTTCTTAGATTCAGATATCATTTATCTGAATGTTTTGGGGAGCCCAATTGTCGTGCTCAACTCATACAAAGCGGCGAATGACCTCCTCGGCGTGCGTTCTACGCTGTACTCCGACAGGTATGTCATGGGGTCTATCTCTGCGAACTTCGTACTCACTCACACACGAGACCCCTGAGCACCATGTTGAACGAGCTGTAAGGACCTGCCGCTACATTGTGCTAGCCCATCTTCTAGGCTAGGTTGGAAAACGCTGTTGAGTTTCCTACCATACGGACATGCATGGCGTGCGCGCCGTCGCGCATTTTGGCAAGAATTCAATTCAGAACGCTCAACAAATCATCGCCCTAAGCAGCTGTGGTACTCCCGTGATCTCCTTCGGCGACTGCTAGAGGACCCGAAGCGCTTTCTTCATCATATCGACTAGTAAGTTTACTCCAGCGCGTCTGTGATATTGGCTGAGAGTGCGACAAGTACTCTCTCAGCGACCATCATCGCAATCGCATACGGTGTAGACGTCCAGCGTGAGGACGATCCCAATGTCGAGCGCGCTGGGAAAGCCCTCGTAAACTTGAAGGACGCTGCAATCTCCGGGAGCTTCATGGTTGATATACTTCCGTTCCTCAAGTATATCCCCACATGGATGCCGGGGGCTGGGTTCAAGGCGTACGCAGAGAGGGCGCGACCCCATACCATGGATATGAGAGAAGTTCCATACGAACAGGGTTGTAGTCGCTTGGTGGGTACTTCATTAATTGCTACTCCATCGATTCGATCCTGATGATTTCTCAGCGCGAAGGGACAGGCGAGCCGAGCATCCTATCTCGCAGTCTGGGCGGACACAGCATCGACAGCCATCCAGACGAAGAGTTGATCAAGGACGTGACATGGGTTGCGTATACAGGTGCGCTTACTGTTCCAGGATTTGCAGTGTACAACCGTGGCTTAGGTATCTACCAGGGGGCGCAGAGACATCGCCTCTAGTGATCTACACGTTCGTGGCGGCAATGCTCCTCTATCCAGACGTGCAGAAGAAGGGCCAAGAGGAGCTCGATGCCTATCTTGGTGCACGACTCCCCGCGTTTGAGGATATACCACACCTACCGTATGTCCGTGCCATCATGCAGGAGGTATTGAGGTATGTCGTGTGTTATTCTTTTCATTCGAGTTCATAATCTCTGGATCGTAGGTGGCAATCGGTATCGCCTTTAGGCAAGTTTTTGTCATCATTCTTGCCGTGATATATTCCTGACGGTTGCCCTCTAGGCGCACCCCACCGACTCACGATGGACGACGAGTATAAGGGGTATATTATACCCAAAGGGTCCACGATCTTCGTCAACGTCTGGTGCGCACTCGATTTCATCGGGTGATGACTGACGCAGGAATACTACCTGACCTTGATCACCGCGCAGGGCCCTCTTGAGAGACGAGGAAGTCTACTCCGATCCCGAAACATTCAACCCAGAACGCTTCCTGAAGGACGGCGAAATCGATCCGAAGACTCTCGACCCCATCCCCAACTTCGGATTTGGGCGAAGGTGTGTAGCACAACGTCAGCATTCCTGTATCGCCATTGTATACTAAACGGCCCTGCGTCTCACGCACTCGGCTGCATATAGGATATGTCCCGGCCGGTTCTTCGCTTTGGACTCCCTTGCGATCTCCGTCGCGTCGATCCTCTCCTGCTTTGATATCACTAAAGCGAAGGACGCACGCGGCCGGGATATCGAGCAGGATATTCAGTGGGAAGGCGGATTCACGAGGTGCGTATCTCCTTCACGTTTTCCTTTCTAGGGTGCTCATACGCTGACATCGGCAGGCACATCATCCCCTTCGAATGTGCCATTACGCCTCGCTCTGCTAAGGCTGCGAAACTAGTTCGTGACTCGGAGCTCATGTAAAAGATCTACATTTCAGCCTGCAATATTGTACTCCACTCGTAACTGTTGTTGATGCGGACTGGACTATATATATCCCTCTCCCGATGTACGCGAAGGTCTGGCGTTCACGGCCACATTGTTATCTGCATGACCACGGCCCAGCGGCGCTCCAACGACCCAGCACTGCGAAAATCAGAACCGCGATAAATCATAACTCGCAGGCGCATGACAGATCCAGGATCGGAGACGGAGGCATTGGGATTCCCCAACCCCACGCCCCACACCCCACGCCCCCATTCTCTAAAATGTCGCGCAGAAGGACTGAATGCTTCAACAAGAGCACACATATAGATGTAAATGCAACACATACACATACCCACAGACGACTCGCAGACGAGCCGGCCTGTTTTCCGCCAGTTGCGTGGTCGTGTGGGGGATCGCGTACGCCAGCAACCCCACAAGCAGAATCGACCGAGAGCTCGCACATCATGGGTAGAGATGAGATGCGCACATATAACTAGCGCATCCCAAGAGAAAGAGAAAGACGAGACGAATTCGACAGAGACGGAGGTGGGTCGTATATTATATTCGTGTAGCACAAACACGCATGGGCGGTGGGATAGCGCATTTGTTCGGCCGTTCATCAACATTCTAGACGGCTATCAGTCAGCTACCTACACTCGGGGGGTCAAGCAGCATCCAAAGCCAGCTGCGGATACCGCTGCCCGTATGGATCTCCCGCGAATGCAAATGCAAATGTGAGTGCAAATGCAAATGCAAAGGCGAAGGTGAATGCAAAGGCGAACCTCTCCTCTCCGCATCATAAGTCATAACGCGCATCGTGGCACAGCAGATTTCAAGACCCGGAATCCACTCTCTAGATTGAGGAGCAGGCGGGCAGGCGGGCAGGCTAGAAGGATCTATCCGACTCTTTTTTTTTGGGGGGGGGGGGGCAACCGCGACGACCGTAGTCTGTAGCCTGCAGACAAACACATAAACACGTAAACACATACACGCAGCAGGAAACGGGGAAACGAAACCGCCGAATTCGAAAGCGTCATTAGTCCACCAACGGCTCCATCCGCAGCGAGTTTGCCTGGATTTCTGGATTTAGGGCGGGAGTTTGGGAGCTAGTTCGGATAGGACGGGGGTTCTGTAGTCGCCAGATCGGGCGAACAACAAACAACACAAAATGTTCGTTTTAATTTTGATTTTAATTTGAAGAGAGAGCGTTGGAATTGAAGAGAGCGAGAGGCGCTACGCACAGACGCACGGACTCCCAACTCCCAACTCCCCACTCCCCACTCCCCACTCCCGACTCGAGATTCCTATACCGACATCATTATGTGCGATGTCCAAAGGAAGCAGCAGTTGCCCGGGCGTTGGTGTTAGCGTTAGCGTCGTCGTGGCTCGTTGTTCGTGTCGTCGTGGCTCGTTGTTCGTGGCTCGTGGCTCGTGCGTTTTTCCGCTGACTGCTGCTGACTGATGAGTAGTCCTGCGCATGCGCATGCGCGTGAGTGATATCGACGTTTATTGGATGGTGGTGGATGGTGGGGTTTATTGGATGATGAATGATGATGGATGATGGGATAGGCCACAGCGGGTCCGAACCACAGCGGGCTGTGCAGCGCCCAGCGTCGAAGTCTGCAACATTCGTAACATTCGGAATGTTCGGGAGGCAACACAGCGCAGGGTGCCTCCCTCCCTCTGCCCCTCCATCCCGCCGCGAGTGTAGACGGAGAAAAAGAAAGACAAGGAAGCGAAAGATATGAATCGAAAAAAAGAACGGGATCTGGCCGTTGGCGTTGGGGCTTGAAGACGGAAGAGGGAAACGGGGTACGGAGGCCTGAGCGCTGAGGACATGTACGCACGTAGATGACCACACGGGCCGGGGCCGGGGAGAGGGGATCAGGGGATCAGGGGGTTTGGGCCGAGCGGCAGCTCCGCGAGACGCCGTCGTTCGGACGGGAGCGGTGCAACATGAGCGGGGGACTCTGAGAACGGGAAACGGCGAGGGAGGAGCATGAGACGAGGATCGAGGAGGTGGTAATCAAAGACGTACTCACTCAAGGTGAATGCAACGGCTCGAGTCACCGCCGATGATAGTCTTGAGTGCTAGCGCTCTAAACGTTAAACCTGCGAACCGTCGCAGAATAGGCTCTCTCATCATGCACCGTGCCTCAGCAGTCCATCTCGTACGAACACAGCCCAATGCTAAGTAGACGGCGAACATAACTCCGCCCATATTGGTGAAATGCGACGCGAGCTGGCTGGATTTCTAGGAGCCTCGAACAAGACACGTTCGGGCCTTGAGCTTGAGCTTGAGGAATGGTGACTATGTCCGAGCTGATGGTTGCACAGAGCAGGTATCGCAGGAGGGTGAAGCGCCGGAAGATTAGATCGCTCAGAGCTCGTTAGATAGTGTGTATGCGCCCTCGCTGCGACTGATGACTGCCCTCGCCAGCACATTCTGGCTTCCCGAGATCCTCCCTTGAGTATGGACCGCCATGTACGTCGGCGGGTTTCCGAATGCCTTGAATTCCGTCGCTATGATATGATGGGCACGATTGGCGTGCATTCAAGTGGGGGCGAGCGGCCTGAGTAGAGGACTGATCGCAAGTGGTTTTTGAACGACGTGATTACACGGATTGTGCATTCGTGCTCTTCTTCGTCTTCCGTTAAAGTTTCGAGAGGAGTCCAGTGAGGCGAAAAAAAATGCCATCATTGTTTGTCCAGAAGCTTGGAACCAAGCATCGCGAGTGCAGGCGCCTATTTTCCTTCAACGTGCAGCACGTTCGTCGCGTCCCTCGAGTCCGCTCTTTCTCAGTCCAACGCCTTCAACCCGCAGTACCGTGTCCCCGTGCACGTCCCTGCGATCCACGATCTCATACGCGAAAACCGCGCGCATGCGGCGATCTCGACCCCACGGTCCGCGAACAGATCGCGCTGCTTGGCCAGTTCGCAGTTCTGCCGCATCGCTGGTATACTTCACCGACATCGAATCACCCAAAGTGATCAAAGGGGGAACCACGACTCTCTGCGCTCCCACCCCTCCCCCCCTTCCCACTCCCTCAAATGGTCCATATTCGCTGGATATTAGATCAGTAACACCCACTCACGACTGACGGGACCGCACAGTGTTCGTCACGGTGTACGAGCCGGGAATACGTGAGGCGCTCGTCCTGTGGCACCACACGCAGCACTTAGCACGCAGCACGCGACACAGCCTGCCAGAGGACGGAGTATTGCCCGTTGTCTGCGCTCGACGTCAGACATCAGTGGCCCCGTGAAATACGGCGCGGAATTCGCTCGCGCGTTGTACCGCCCGCACGGTCGACAGCGCGCATCTGGAATCATTACCATTCGTGTTCCAACTTGACTGGTGCATCCTCGAGTCTCGAGTCTCGTGAGCACCCGCGCAATGCCATGCAACTCCATGCTCTCGTCAGACTGCAGCATGTTCTGCGGCACGTCAATTGATCGATTGATCGATTCGTCGATGCGATGCCTTAGCCATGAATGCGTAGAACATTTCCCCCGCGTACATACCCGATCGTCTTAATCAAACACAAGCCCGAGCAGGAATCAGCAACCAGCAACCAGCAAACAGGAACCAGCAAACAGGAACAAGCCAAAGCGAGTCTGTGCCCTCCTCAGGCGTGCCTACACTCACGTTCGCGGGTACGAACGCCACCAGTCTATGATGCCCATAACTTTCTGTAACTTTGCGTCATGCTAATCATACCGTGCACTGTACATCCAAAATACGAATACATGAAACCAAATCGTCGACATCGGCATCGAACTCTTAGCCCCGCTTTTCACCAGGCGCCGCAGCCTAAGGAGCATCCAGCGCGTTCAGTGTTCACTGCGGAAGGGTAGCAGAACGCAGAACACACATACTCTTGGCTTCTCCACCACGGCATCCTTTGCAGCCAATTTGGTCTGCTGTGTCGTACAGGACTCAGCGTGCGCGTCGCCTGGGCAGGTGGTCGGAAGGCCCGAGACGGAGCTCACGATGAACGTGTCGCCGCGCGCGAATGCCGACCGGGCATTGAGCGACGCGAGAACCCAGGACGCGTACCTACGCAGTGCACAAAGAGGCGTCAGCGCTACAGTTACCGGTGATACACCAGCGCAGCACTCACACTGCGCCCGTTGGGTAGAAGCTGTTCAAGTTGCAAGGCAATCAGCGATTAGCGATCAGAGACTCCCGCTTTGACGTCTGGGGGGAGGGTAACGGGAATTAAACGGGAACGCACAAGATGCACCGCCAGCGGCGCTCGGAGCCGCCGTCCGCGTGGGCAGCGAGCGGCTCGAGCATGAGCGCCATCTGGACCGCGATGAGGAGCGTGGTGAGCAGCCCGGTCTCGAGCGTGAACGCGAGGATGTGCGCGAGCGTGCGGCGCGTCCTGCGGAAGATGGCCTCCCTCAGTGCGTTGTATAACTGCATCAAACCAGAGTGGCAGCGATCCACGCTAGTTAGAGGCGGGTGAGGGGATGGATTAATGGGAAAGGGCGCGTACGAGGGTGATCATGGAGAGGGTGATGGTGAGATCGCAGAACATGCTGAATCCCATCCATATCTACGATGGGCAGTGAGCGCGTGAGAACCCACTGCACACACAATGCGGGCAGCACGATGATATGTGTACGCACGGGGGTCACGATGGTCCCGAGCGAGCGGGAACTCGCGTCAGCGATACCGGGCTGTATATCCGCGAGCAGCAAGCACACGAACGCAGGGACGGAAAGCTATCTCATCTGTTGAGTGAGCCGTCCGCGAGTACTAGAGCTCTGAGCACCACGCACCGAGCACGTGAGGAGGAGGAGCCACCATTTGTGGCAGAGCTGGAAGATGCGCCACGCGAAGAATAGCTGCGATGTGAAGCCGACTGCGCCGTGCGGAGCTGTGTCAGCGGGACGCGCCTGCGTATCAGGTACGACTCACGGATAGCGATCATGGCGTGCGCGGCTTTGGTGCTGGGCGTCATGTCTGCGAGAGTGGGTATCAACGTCAGGTCGGTCACCCGCTCCCACAAGTCTACGGAGATCGCGATAGTGAGCACGCCGGACCCGAGGAATGCGCCCCAAGCTGTCGGGGAGTCGAGGACGGTGATTGTGAGTGAGTATGGGTGAGTATGAGTGAGTATTAGTGAGTATGATATTAATGTTTTGTGAGCGAACTGCGTCGTGTGTGGTTTGAATTTTCGCGCGTACCTGCGAGCTTGAGCACGGTGCGATCCCGGGGGAAGCGCCTGTGGTAGTCGTCTGCAGGTGGATTGAGTAGGTTAGTAAGTAAGTGAGTGAGCGAGCGAGCCGTGATAGATCCGCTTCGGGGGGTCTACGTACGCATTTGGACGATCAAGACGCCGAACAGCACGATCTCGAGGAGGGATCCGACGAGCTGCCCGTACCGCAATCATCAATGAATACGGATCGTGAGTACACCACACCACAAACGAACGAGGCAAACGTTTAAACGCACGACTGGCTCAAGACTGCAGACAGAATGCACGTCAGTACACGATTAAACAAATGGGGTATGGAGTATGGGGGATGGATCATGAAGTATGTTATGAAGGAATTGGTACATACAATGCTAGCCGCTCCTTTGACCCGGAAGTTACACTCCAAGCGGAGGGGGCGTGCACGGCTGTGCTGTTCAGATTGCGTCGCAGCCCGACCGTTGTGGGTGCTACGGATGGCCAGTAAATGTACATCGGTCAAGACTGAGGCAAAGAATTGGGAAAGGGGGGGAGGGGGGTCTTGGACGAGTCTCGAGTGAAGGTTAGACATGGGAAATGGGCGGTATTAAGCGACTCGGGGGTCTGGGGAATATGTGCGACCGTCAGCATGCGATCAGAATGCCGCCTACGTATTTATATATATATTCACATCGTACGGCGTTCCGGGACCATTATAATTGGTCTTTTGCGATTTTGCGAACAATTGAGAACTTGAGTCGCTTTTGCAATTGGTGCCACCCGGATTCCGAGCTGTACCTATAATATTCGGATATATCAGCAAAGCCATGGACAACCCACGGAACCGAATGGTTGCCACAAAATGCGAGGAACCAACAGCCCCGAATCAGAGGTGATATACGAGCATCTGATGGTACCACCCTCCAGCTATGCAGCAGAACGGCGGGCGCCTTGATCAGGCATCAAACTCTCACCTTTCCACCGTCAGGCGACCACAGCTTTGATCGCATAGTTCTTCGTTCGTATGCGCCCTCATGGAAAGACACATCGCAAACGAAACTGTTCCCAGCATCAAATCGAATCCGTGCGAGACAGCTGATAGACCCACAGCGTGTTTCGTGTTTTTCGCAGATATGAGCTTGGGTTGTCATTTTCATCATGATGGGGCGGTGGACTGATTGTGTTGTGAGTAGAGATAGAATTAACGGCGCCGGTGATCCGTGATCACTGCACACTGCACCCGAGGCTTGCTACAAAGACTCGCTACTAGCGCCATGGAGGTACGTACTTCATCCCCCGCTGATAGCACCTGCACTATCAACGGTGCTTCATTTCTCGGCAGCTTCCACCTACGAGCTTCAGTCGTCGGGATTGTGTTTAATTCTCCTAGCAATACGACCAACCAGGCGATGTCTTCAACGCAAGACTCCGAACTTCAATGGGACGCGCTGTATCAAGCCGATGCCATCGACCGCCAGAACTAGTACGCACTCCAGTCTTCGAGGCACCTCGCCCCACCCTTCTATTCTCATGTATTCACATGACGCCCACAGCTTAGGGCCCCTCGTACGTCTTGCATCCCTTCGATGGATTATCCCTCACACATGCATTACGCACATGCGTGTGTATCATTATACGTATACGTAGATCATCGGGTCCATCCTGGAGCTTGCGCTCTTCGGCGTCCTCATGATGCAGATACGTACGTACCTCCCTCGCTGTCCTGTCTCTCGCCAAAAGCGACTGCTCAACGATGGTGTCGTTGGTTAGGCACCTACTACAGACGTGCATGTCGCGATAACTGGCTCCTGCGACTCACAGGTGCGTCCCGCCAATATAGCTCTCATGGTCGGAGCCGTAATGCGTTATGGGTATCATCATACCATGGTCTAGCTTGGACATCCTTCCTGGGCGCCCTTACCCTCACAATCGCCGTCTTCGTCGACGCGCGGTACCGCTGCATAGTAGGCAGCACACTCCTCATCCAAGACTCCACGACCGCCGGCAGCGCGATCGCGTCCATGATGCTTGCCCTCCGTGCGTCCCCTTCACCCCTTCACCCTTTCACCCCCCACCGTCCCTTCATTCCGGGTCGAATTGTGACAATGGCGTATTTGCAGTGGAAGCGCATGCGCAGATGTGCTTTGCGTGGCGGATCCGCGAGCTGGCGCGGAAGAGGTGGCTCGCAGCCCTCGTCGCTTGTGTAAGTATATGTATATCCCACATCGTGCGCCCAGATAATCGCTACAATTTCTAATTTCTCCCAGCTCGGGATTGTGGCATTTGGCGCGTGCATAGCAGCCCACGCCCATGCATGGACGCTTCGGCCCCTTCAGCTCCCCGCCGACGCCTCCGCCCCAAACGTGAGTCCGTCCATCGCGTCCAAGAGGTTAGAGAAGCCGCAGTGCAAGCGGGCATGCTGACGCCGAGCCTCAGGCGCCCCGCGACTTCGATTTCATCCACACGTCCTCTCCTTACGCTTTGTCGATCAGACGCCCGTCGACGGCTGTGAGTATCGTGGATACACCTCAGACCCCATTTGACGTGTATTGTCCGTAGATCTGGATGGGCACCAGCGTCGCCTGCAACCTGACGATCACCGTCACTTTGGCTGTCCTTGTACGTGCGTTCCCTCCCCCGACGTACTGCTTTTTTGATAGCATCGTCATCACTATCTAGCTCTATCCAGCGTTGCGCGAAGCGGCGTTCGGTGAGAAACTGCCGATGATCGGGAAGATGCTGAGACTGACGTTCGAGACGGGGATTGTAACTACAATCTTCGCGATCGTGATGACGGGGTTGCTGTTTAGCAAGGCGCCTGCGACGCAGTATCTTCGGTACATCTTGTAAGTGGCCGTCAATACAGCGAATGCGGATGATTGAGCTGATGATATGCTCGGGCTAGCTATTATCCCAGTGGTGTCTTGTAAGTCTCTCTACTTGGTTGCAGCGGTGGAATCGGCTTACGGTGGTGGGAGATACTCGTCCTGGCTCCTCGCGTCGCTCAGCGCGCGTTCTTCGACGAGAAGCGAAGCGTATCCTTCAGTGAATATCACCGGAACGAAGTCGACCCATCTCGGCGAGCTCCGCTTCCAGACCAACACGCGGCAACTAGACGGGCTGACTGTCACCATATTGTCCCCCGTCGACGAGGACCGAGACATCGAGGAGCAGTCGTCGGTATGTTACACCGCGCCCTGATGAAGTAGAGTGGATTTGATGGACTGTCGAGCAGGTCGAAGCGGGCGACGAAACCCTGGCACCACCACCATCACATAAGGATAAGTCTCAGGAGGTGCTCGTGTAAGGGTGTTGTTGGGCGCAGTCAAACGGTGGAGAAGAGGAGAGGGAGGTGAAGGTGGTACACGCCAGCATCGGCACTCGGAAAGATACCCATTCGCTTCGAGGCTACATTCGTGTTATGTTTGTCGGTTTGTTTCATTGTCAGTCTGTTGACGAACGGCGTAGATGTGCGGATGCTGGAGTTCTAAGGCGTCTCCACGACGTTTGATGGAAGTCATCACGGACCGGCCCGCCTTTGTTTGGCTCCCGGCGCGTCGGAGTTTGTCAACTTGTCGGTTTGTATTTCCCCATCCTGCGAGTAGTGTTGGTTCTGCTCCATACCAATAACATATCTCGACAAGCTCTGCATCAAGGTAATTTCCTCGGATGCGTGTGAGAGCCTTCAAGGCCTCGTAGACGAGCACGCACTGCCGCATTTTGAGACCTCAATTTGTCAGGTTACTGCCGTGCGGGGTCCTCATGGATAACGGGAATTCAGGATTCAAGGCCGCTAGATCGGAAGCGAAGGAAGGGGGAGCACGGCACCAAAGGTACAGTGTAGCACTGTCTCTATTCTGAACCGCATTCCATTGAAACTCTGACACCTTCGATTCCAGAGCGAGTTCCTGGGTTATATTTAAAACACACAATGGCGCCCTAAATCGCTTTGGTCTTTCCGTTTGCTAGGCGCGTACAGTATTTTGGTCTATGCCATGCATTGTATTCCATCCATATTTGTTAGGCGAGTGAATGCTATTGCCTGCAATCGCCGATCAAATAGAATGACTCGCCTAAGTACAAACAGGCGTCGCGATCTGACGATATTGATTTCTGGCTGGCCTCGACATCGTTTACGTTCGCCACGATGTTGTACGCCGTCTATCCGGAGGAAGTCACAATCGATGATCTAGATACTGCCTGCCTACATCATCATAGCATATCCCGGCGTCTCTTCGCCATACAACTCCTTAATTGTGAGGTCCATTCCATCAGGAAATAGACGCCTGTGCACCACCAACAAGAAGGCATGGGCAGCAAAAAGAACGCTCCACCACCACCGCAAGCTATGCAAACTGTGGAACGAATCGCAGTGCTCAGATCATCTGTTCGTCATTTTCACACCTCGCACCAAAGCTTATTGGGGTCTGACCCAGGCGATTGAGTCAGTTCGAGTCAGGAGTCTGTGCGAGACGTAAAAGTGTGGGAGCGCTGTTCCCGTGGCCATGGGAGACCCCAAGTCAAGACACAGACCTATAAGTTTCGACCGCGCTTTCGCTTCCTCCATCGCATACCCCCATCGCAAGACCCTTCCAGCTGTTCGTAGAATCGCACTATGGGAACCAGAGGCCTACGGTAAGCATCAACATCTAGATACTGTCCGAGCCACTCGCAGACCACTGACCGTTATCTATATCATCAGCGTCTATCGTCATCGAGGGAAATTCTTTGCAATTTACAACCATAGCGACTCATACCCAGCAGGTCTGGGTGTGGAAATGGTGGAATCTATCCCTCGCGACCCCTCTACGTATGCAACATGGCTCGAGGAAACGCGGGCGAAGTATGATCGCCTCGGCGACGAGACATCCGAGCGCCCGGGCGCCAAAAGCGACGATCTGCAAATCCACGAAACACGGCCGACGACGGATCTCTTCGTCGAGTACGTATACGAGATTGATCTTGACGATGAGGTCTTCTGGATGAACGCGATGCCCATGTTCCGCTTGGATCGAATGCCGAGCCCAGAGGTGTTTCTCGAAGTGCGCGGACGCGACAGCTATGGTCAGTACGCGCCGAAGGCGAGCATGCCAGGCGAGCATGCATGCCAAATCGCCACTCCCTCCCAGACGCCCAGCGAAGAAGACCTCTCATCATACACCTCTTTCCTCAAACATGCGCTAGCACCATCTCCTCTTGCCGCTGACGTCTGCGCGCTTCTTGGAGTCTCCGAGGAGCCTTCCGCAGGCGAACACATTCGAATTGCGTTGTACGAAGTTATCACAGGGGGGCTGATGTCCATCACTGATTTCAAAACCGTCCTTCTCAACTCGCAACTAGCACGTGCACCACTGACCCACCAACCATGGATCACCCAAACTGCGAAAAAGCTCGTCGTGCGTGCCTTCGTACCTATGGTGTTCCACAGCGATGTAGAGCTCTCGGTGGAGGACCGCGTCGCGGAGCTGGAAGATGAGTCGGGGGCGGGAGGGTTGTTGTGGTTGACGTCGGATGTCTGCTTTGGAGCGGGCTTCCACCTGGACTACGACGACCACCTACGTGCGTCTATTGGGAAGATGGTGCGTGACATTCGTGAGACATCCCCGGCCAAGGGACTCGTCTACGGTGTCCTTTGCTCGGTTTTCCACATCGTCATTGTCAAGGTCGACACGGCTCCCGGGGGATCATTCGAACACACCTCCGCTCTGCAATTTCTACCATCGCGATTCGCCGAGTCACCGTCGACGCCAGGCATCACCGCCTTATTACGGTTGGCGTTTCGAGAAGATAGCACGCTGTGCGAGACGGTCCTCAGCAAATCACCGTTCAAGTCCGAGCCCCAGGCCGATTCGCCAACATACGTCGACAGACTTCAGCCGGAACTCGTCGCCCGTGTCGCGTCTTTCATTCCAGACTTGCGGTCCCTCCTCTCTTTCGCGACGTTGAGCGACAACACGAAAGCTCAAGTGAGCCCCGAATTCAGGTTTCCGTTCATCGGTCATCATCACCTTCTCGAGGCATTTGTAAAAGAAGATCAGTCCCTTCGTCAGCGCCTGAGAAGTAGGTCATTCGTTACAAGGGATGACGATGGTGATACAAAAGTGTGTCAAATTAATGGTGCACGTCTTGTTCGCATGCCGTGGGAGGACTCGCGCGAAGTAGAGGGTTGCTTCGGGATGTTTTCGCATGACACGAAGAAGGCAAACTATGTGCTCCAGGTAGAAGAGAGAAAAGCGTAGATTAGTCACTGGATTCGCTTTTTGTGCTCTCGTCTTGACACGAAATTCGTGGATATGGTCGTTTAGTCCTCTCTCCGTCGTTGTACATATATGTAGCTCCTTGGTGTACAAATTTTCAAAAAAGGGACTGATTATTGAGCGAGGATATGACTCAGTTTGCTTGATGCTCACTGTTTTAGCAACTCCCTCGATGAGATGGGAGTACCAACCATACCAGCGAATACTTACATTCAGGATGATCACGTTTAGTGCCGATACCGCCCCTCTCGTGAAAACCAATGTCAAATTGTTGAATTATTCGACGACGATGGCGACTACAAACTACACATCGTGGATTATGTATTTTCACTTCCACTGAACGACAGTGACGACGCCGTCGTCGTAATCATTGTCGGTCCACTCTTCGGACAGAAACTACGAGGACCCCAAATTCATCAGCCTTTAACGAAGTACAGAGTGAGAAGGCCGAGACGTACGACAGAGAAGTAATACTCCTCGTTATTTCCATCGTCGGGCTCCTTCTTGATCTACAATGTAAAGCATATGTAACCATGTTTCTCTTGCCCATGATAAGCACGCTTACAGTTACGGGCTTGGCCAACTTGGACGGCGCAAATGGGCCGTTGGGGGAGCGAGATGAGTGCTCGATGTATACTTTCACCAGCCTCGCCTCAGGCCTCCCAACGAACTTCCACACAGGCGAGCCGTTGGACTCGAGGGTCATGGGCGACCTAGCGCCGTGACCGACAAAGACTGACGACGCAATCTCGCGATTCGTGGCCTTGTCGATCAGCGTAAAGGTCGCCCTCTGGAATGCTGAGGTGTTCGTGATCTATCCAAGGAGATAAAAGTCAATGACGACGTTAAACCTTGAAGGAACCGGCACAACTTACAGCGCGAACGGCGCGGCGGAAGTTGGGCTTGATCTCGACTGTGTAACCAGTCGTTGGGGCAGCTTCCGTTCCGGCACTGGGAGCGGCGTTCGGCCCAGCACTAGGAGGGGCAACGGCAGCATCAGCTTGCGCGGCAGAAGGTGGCGCCGCCATGTTTGTTGAAATCAGTAGATATGACTATGGGTGGTTTGCTTCGAGATGGAGAACCTTAGTGTTCGCCAGTGTCCCTTTTACACTTGGAGGTATATGAAGTTCGAAGGCGCAAACCAACGGACACCAAGAAATTGTCAAGTCTTCGACAGCATGCGGAGACCAGGAGATCTGACCAAGATACTGAGATTACTTGATCCCGGCCTCGCGAACCTCCGTGTCGCTCCTTTGTGCCAACTCATTCAGGAGGCGCACTCTTAGCTCGAAAGAGCTAGCAGCCCCGACACTGGGTCACTGGGAAGCGACGAAACAATAACCAGTCGCCGCTCCATCAAAATTCCGGGAGGCACAGACGTTTTGGAGGGGGTATGCCGTTGACACAGTGTGGCTTGACGTTTCTCACGTCATGGAGCGCCTTGCGAGGTAGAATCCGGATTGCGTGCTAACTTCTAAGCTTGGGAGGCGCATCAATTATAGCGGGAATTGCAAATCGGCGGAGGACATACCTTACGGCACAGCTAGGTTTGATTCCGTTTCTGCGGGGTAGGGATGTGGCGGATCAACGTAGTTACGCCATTGACTTCAACCTGGTCCTAGTTGGACGTGGATCGACACTCAGCGGCCCCGTCTCTGACTCCGCCAAGGACACAGCCATACGCGGTTGCCTGTCGCGGAGGGCGCCTATGAATAATACTTTGCCCGTTTTAACGAAGTTTCAGCGGAAGCATATCCAGTGAGGGTCTGACATCCGACTTTGACGTCGGTATTCTGGAACGCAGGGATGGGGCAGTGACTCCGCCAATAAACGTCGATACTCGAGTAAGTCTCCGGTGATAGAATTGCAGCGGCGAGGGTCTATTGTCCGCCGTGAGATAGCGGAGGCTTTCGCGATGACGAGCAAGTCAGCAAGAATGGAGGGAAATACGACTGGGTCTGACATTTGTTTACCTAGTCCAGCGGTACGAAGGACTGGGGGCGGGACATATAAAGTCTGCGACTCTAGGTGAGTAGATTCTCAATAAAGCAGAATTAATCCGTACCCCGTCTACTTCACTACTCTACAGCTTAAACCATGTCGTCAACAAATGCTGTCCTCCCAGAAAAGGTAGGGGGAGTACACCTCAGCCTCGAACCGGGATATAATGGAGCTATTCGGGCGGTAAGTATACACTTAGCTTCATCTCACAATGCTCAGACACTCACCAACGTATCCCGACAGAGCGCAGCCGTCCTAGGACATTGGCGCCGCGCCATCGTCACCATGTACGAGAAGAAAACCCGCCGTATCATCTCGTGCACGACATTCGTCGAATATCCGGCGGGGAAGATGACGCTCGAGACAGCAAAGCAAAGCCTCCGGTTTGAGTTGGGACAAGGAGTCGTCCATTCGCGCTGTGGGCGTAGTAAAGAGAGAGAGGGCGTCAAGGCTTCTGACTGTGTGACTAATTTTGTGATCGTGAGAACTGCTGGACATCGCAAATTGCAATGCTCGGTTGCGTTCAATCTGGAAAGGACAACGCGCATCATGGATTCCCCACTACAAGGGTTCCCAATATATTGTAATGGGGGCTTACACCGCATTGCCATCCTCTCATCAAAGCCAAGGCCTGCCTGCGTCCGTCCACCCTTCACCGGCATCGCTGCTCACGCCTGCGCCAATACAGTCCGCCACATTGTTATGAACGCCTGATCAATAACGATAGACTCGCTCACGTTCAACGTAGCCAAGACCCACACCGCCAACGTTGACAACCATTACAGGCGTACCCATGCACGCAGGCCCAGGCTTGAGGGCGCCGTTGGGAGTATCCACCGCTCCTTCATCTTTGATCCTCGTCCCCGCCCTCACATCTACGGCTCCAGGGCGACGTCAAGCAGCTGCGAGCAACCCACGCATGGCGATGACGACGTCGTCGTCGAAGGCGGCCACGGCAAGGCCGCGATGCGCCCTATCCAACACCCTGGACAGCGATGGGCGTAGACATGCGGGGTCAAACATTCGCTGGCGTCCAGGAGCATGAACAACCATCTGCGCCGTCGGTTCGCCTGCAGATGTAGAACACAGGACCACCGGGGGCGCGCCCGTTGCCACGACCAAGGGTACGCGATGCGGCAATCGACGATTGTGGGCGAGGAATGGCTCGCGACGCCTTTGGTGCTCGTGGACATGGGAGACGGGCTGCGTGCCGTGAGTTGCGAGGGACACGATGTGACATGTGAAGTGTCAGGTGAGTGAACGGTTGGGTCGCGGCGTTAAACAGAGTCACTCACCCGCCGATTGTTAGTGCGTTCTAGGTCGCCCAAGTTGGGTGTTGGAGTGTTGCGCTGGTGGTATCCCAGCGCCCCCGATGCGGCATCAGCTGTGGCTACCGCGACTTCTTCGAGAACGAGCAACCCTAGAAGATGCAGGACAAGGCGTGTAAGTTGCCGTCGTCGTTTCCGGCGTTGACGAACGCATCCACCCCAGCGACTGGCATCTTGCTAGTCCCATCGCTGTGGAGGATAACGAGCGCGACCACTGCCACTGCCACTGCCACTGCGACGTGCAGCCAACACGAAGGGCCGGGCTCAGACGCAATGGGGGAAGCGAGGCGGCTAATGGACGGTCATCGGGAGAAGGGAGAGAGGGAGACCGTCCAAACTCTGACACCCAGCACATGTGTTTTAGGAACATCTCGGAATTAGCAGTTAGAGGCTCTCGATCATGATCGAAGTGAAGAAATACACGATCACATTAGGACGCTGTTCAGCTCTGCGTACACGGAGAATATATATGTATCCCACTGCCACCGTAAGTACCGAGATCGAAAGCTCATCGTGCACCCAGGCTTGCAATTAGCCAGATACTACGTACCTACTTCTTACGTAAATGTTCCGACTTCAACCAGTCTCATTTTTCGCCACGTATGCACACCGCCAGCTTCATGTTGAGTACACTTTTCTGTGATGACACGGGCATATTGACCGGCTCTCAAACTCTAGGATCCACAATACACCAGGAAATGAGGCTCAGCGCGCCATCGACGAGGAGATTATCGCGCTCACCGCCGAATGCGAAGCAGCCATTCGTGGATTGAAGTACCAGCGCAACCTGTGCAGCGACATCTCCCGCCTCCCTCCTGAAATCATCGTCGATATTTGTCGGTTTGCCAAAAAGGGAGGCCCCCAAGACGCGAGGTGCTACCAGGCGGTGTATGCTGTTGCAGGCGTATGTCGGCAATGGCGCGAACTTTTACTCGCAACGCCGGACATGTGGAACATCATTGACCTGAACGCTCATGATCGCGCTTTGGAATTACTCAAACGTTCGAAGTCTGCCCCCCTACAAATTCGCTTCCGGGGGCCCGTCTTTGAATCTCTGTCCGACGTGAACAGCGTACCGAGCGCCGCTAGGGAACTTGTGGCGAGGGCCGTTGGAGCGGATTCTGGGCGCATCAGGGTACTCGATATACAGACCTTTACCACGACTGAGCTCATGAACCTAATGCGCTTGTATGTTGGAATCCCTCCGATTAACGGCCACCATCCGTAGCACATTGCAGACTAGTACTCTACAATACGATATGCCCTCTCTACGCCGTCTCGACCTTCACGATGTTGTGATCAATAGCCCCCTCCCATTCCTCCCTCGCTTGTCATATTTGAAACTCGTCGTCAAGTCGACGGACTTGCTCCCTTCGCTTCAAAACACCCCACATTTGGAAGAGCTTGACGCCTACGTTTGCAAGGGCCAATACACCGGAAATCCTGTTGCTCTCCCGAAACTGGCGACCCTTATTATCGTGGCTGATGAGCTAGAAGGGGCAGTCATACTATCCAACATCGAATACCCCTCCATTACGCGTGTCCGCTTCAGCAATTTGGAGCGGCCCACAGGCGACAACAACCTTTTTCATCTTGTTGAAGCCATTCGTCGCTTCGCAAACCCCAGTGCCCCTCCGGTCGATACTGCGATCATGAATTCCTCGGGGCTCGGTGACTCGTTCAAAATGCATGTCGGGACTCTTGGAACCAGCTCAGGCCGTGCCAACTTCAGCCTCGAACTCAAATTGAGCGATCAGAATGGCCAATATCTTCCATCGTGCCTGCGATTATGCTCCGCCTTTTCGCCCAAGAGGCTAAGGTATCTGAACGTTGGCGGCTGGCTTGGGTTATCGGTTCTGGACTGGCGATCCCTATTCGGCCACTTCCAAGGGGCTCAAGATCTGTTTCTCGACACTGTCCAAGTGCAAGCGTTTCAAGCTCTCTTGAAAGCGCCGCACCTCAAGCGACCCCATATCCTGCCCAACTTGCGGAAGCTTCAGGTGTTCCGCTGTGGACTATACAGGCGGCAATGTACCATACCTTCGTGGGTTTTCTCAAGGAACGAAAGCGCTCGAAAGTAACTGTGGAGGATGTAACCATAGACGATAGTTATATCAGCAAGAACGAAGCTAAAGAACTACAGAGATTGACACACGTCCAGTGGTTTCCACCGCCAGAGGGAGAATGCGGTCGACGTCGGCAGTATTGTTTATAACCATGAACACTTTCATGAACACTTTCCATGGATACATAGGAGCCCCAACAATTCCTTGGGTAGATATTATGTGTTTTTGTCATTATGCGAAGTATGATTGCACCTGCACATTGCTGCCCGATCCATCCACCGAATCACTCCATTCAACGAAAGCTCACTCAACCCCTGCAAACCACTCATCTTCGAGCAGATCCGTCGCCGTCGCCCTCCCATCTGGATTTAACCGCAAGCACCGCCGGATGAATTCTGATATGGGAAGGATGTCGTTCCAAGACATGATCTCGAGCCTGCCAATGTTGTACTCGATCCCATAGTCGAAAATGTGGGGGTCGCCGCACAGACGGCCTGAGTAACATCAACCTCCACGTCAGACATGCTGGATAGCGGGAAAGGATAACGCTGTCACAGTTGTCGAGGTGGAAATAATCGATTGCATTTGGCCACGTCTTGAGCTGCGCCGCTCGGAACAGCTCCCCGATTTCGAGAACCATCTGGTAGAGAGGGTTCCCCGTCTCATAGAAGCCGTATACGTTGCTGGGGCGATACGAGAAGAGTGCGCGGGAGGTTACTAGCTCGTATACCTACCCAACGGCCACCCCGTCATAAGCAGGAGGTAGTGATTGATGGCTGTGGAGGAGTAAGGTGCTTACAAGACAGCCGAATGTCCATATGTCCGCTGGCTTGTCCCATTCACTACCGAGGAGGACTTCGGGTGCGCGGTGCTGGGGCGTCGTGATCGTGCGGTTGGCATGGAGTTTGGAAGCCTGTGCTGGAAGCGCCGGATGAGCATAAGTCTCGAGGAGATACGAATGGAGGACGAGCTCACCGCTACCGAAGTCAGAGAGGACGTATGTGGCCTTGAAAGCCTCTTCTTCAGAGGGAAGTTTCATAGGCTGGGATACGGCCGACTGAACGATGCCGTCACTCGACATTTCCGGAGGGTTCCTACGTGGGGGGTCCCATTTAACCCACTTATCGATATCCTCCTTCGTGGCTCCTGTCGTAAACAAGATATTGTCCACCTTTAAATCCGTATGCACGATGTGGCGTCCACCTTTAAATCCGTATGCACGATGTGGCGTCCATGCGCAAAAGCCAGTCCGCTCAGGAGGTGGAGTGCAACATGCTTTGCCAGCGGTAGGGAGCCTGAGTGGGATGGTGCCTCGGGATTGGAGGAGCGCTTTGACGTCGCCACCGTATAACGGCAAGACAAAGCAGCGGTGCATTCCTGCTGAACCTCATCCTGGCATCGTGAACTCCTTCGCTAGTAAGTAGGTGCACGCAATGCTCAGACTGCGGGTTGTACGAGAGCAGTCTGAGCGCGTCGGTCTCCCAGGTCACGGCGCGCTCGTACATCTCCACCGCGTGCCCAGTCAGCACCCTGATTGCCACATACTGGTTAAGCCTACTCGTCGGGTCAAGCATCATATAAGCCGAGCGCCAAGACAGACATTTAGGAAATGTCAAAGGCAGAGAAAGGGATAGCGCACACATTATCCAGCGCAAGCCAAGTGCTGGAGTGCATCCCCCAGCCGAGCTTGCGCGCGATGGTATACCGCTGGTCATCTCCGATGTGTTCCCCGAACTCAAGTTGGGCCCAGCCGTAACCTTTCTCCGCGGGCAAACCCAACCCCTCTGATTTGAACGATAGGTCAACGACTTCCTTACCGTCCGCGTCGACAGAGAAATGCTGTTTCGTTGGGCCCCTATTCGCTGCGGGCGTGGTTGCGGTAGTACCAGCGGAAGACATACGGCGAAAGGGGGGTGCTGGGAGAGATCGGGATACAAGGAGTGCCCTCAAGCTTGGGCGAACGCCAGTCGCATTGGGAAACTTGATTACGGGCACCAGAGATCATGTTGAAGAGATAGTAGAATTGTAATTTTCACGTTTGTGTGACGCCTTGTGATCTATTCTCAGAGGCTCGACTGTCATCCTCTCGATATAGAGGTTGGTCCACAGCCTACCTTGTGACGCGTCCCAATTCCCATTCCCCCCAAATTCCTCCTTTCTCGATGCTGTCGACGAAACCCTTGCCTCAACCTACTGACCTTATGTTGCTCGCGGATCGACCTCGACTGCATTTCTATGACGCACACGCGGGTGGTAGACTCGGGGTACGCTAGGCGTAAGAGGATGAACGTTAAACGTAAAGGGTGCGAGACTCGGTGCGTTCCTTCCTCACTCAAGTACTCACCCGTCGTGCATCATTCATTGGTATCAAGGCCTCTGTCTCATCGTCACCACAAGCTTATTGTCGAACATGATCAACAGCCAAGGGTTCTTCAAACAGCAAAACGCCTCAAGGACATGGACATTCCCTTTCTGCTATGCTACCTTCAAAACGTTTGGGATACCTACCCGCGGTGCTCTGTTGGATTGCATAGAATGCACTAGCAAACCGCGCTTCCTATCGAGGCGGCGCACTATACGCGGCGGCCATGTATAGTATAATACTTATTCCTTTAATGCTTACTTCTCGCTTACCGGCTAATATAGTCCCATAAAGCATGTCTTATTTAGGCTATACATACAGTACAAATACAGTACGATATCATAGTGCCACCTCAGTCGATTCCCATCGTACTGAGCACCTTTATTATTCCACATGCTCTACATTCACCATTCGTTCTGAATCTGTCTATGACGTGATCCCCCCACCTACACCAACGCACTGCCCTTGCCGCACTACCCGTCGACCTGCGCGACATCTGCATACCCAATTCGCTCTAACGGAGCGAGCCTTTCGTGAATCTATTCTACTCCGCTGCTTCTTTTGTGCCAAGCTCCCCTTTAATCTGGTTGAGGGCTACAAGACTTACCCTTCTCATAGACAGCCCAGAAACTGTGCAGCACATACTGCTTCCCCTCTACCGCAGCCGCAGAAGCTTCGTCTGTTCAAACGCCGCCATTCACTCTTCTGAAGCTAGTGATTTAGGTCGCCTGGTGGCATAGCTTGTCTCCTCGCCGAATCGCTTGCTACCATTACTGATGTGCTCCGGTTTGCATTGTTCATCCTCTGTATATTGGGGGCACAAAGACACGGTACATGACAAATCATCATCCCGTCATACGCTTCCAGCAACCGTGTTCGTGCGGGGAATCTGCATGACTTGGGTGAGTGGGCCGCTGCCCGCTTGGCACGGCGTGTACGAGACCGATTTCGCATTCGAGTGATTCTAGCACAGACGTTGACGCACATTGGTATATACGAAACAACTAAGACAACTCTTGCCGTGCACGACAGTCCGTCTTTATAGCGACTTCCATGCAACCCTCATACAAGCTCGGCCACATGATTTTAAAATTCTGCCCTCCCTCCAGATACTATACCATGAATCCCTGATACTCCCCTTAGCTTAGAGGACAGGTGGGCGGGCCACAGAAACATCCCTAAAAGGCCAACATATATTATGATATCACATGATCAGTTTATGCCCAGCCATCAGCGCCTAGCGCCGTCATTGGGGTCCGACGTTGTAGTCTTTGTAATAGTGAACACCGGATTCCTGATAGTCAAGGTCAGACCCGGTGTAACGCTAGCGGGATTTCTCACGGTAGCGCTACACGGAGCAAGTATGAGATGGAGAGGGAGTAGAGTTAGTCCTCGAGGTGACAGGTGTAAACCGTGGTTATTCAAGGGAACTCTGCCCCATATCTACATACAAGCTGGGTACTTATAGGAAATACGGGTGGTCCAAATATGAGCAAAGATTAGGAGAAAAAAGGGGATAGGGTGTAGTACCGAATAAGGAAGTAAAGTGACGCCCTAGAATTAGGCGGACGTTACATATGCCCTCCCGAACAAGTCTACTTGTTCGATGCATGTGGGGTTTGTGGGATAATGTAAAAGAAACACGTATGGACGTCGACGTCGAGGCTCTATTTTCTGTTTTTGAGCTCTTGTTCGAGGATCAATCCCTGGTTGAGCAAAGCGCGCGTCATGAATTCCTGGGCAGTAGCGAGGCCATGGTTATGGCGCCCATTCTTGTGGAATCCCTTGGATCGGGATGGCTTTTTGGACGAGGTGGATGCAACAGGGGTGTTGTGAGGGTTAGGAGGGGGAGGTGTTTGTTTCTTGACGTGGGGTATGCGACGGGACATCATGTCTTGTTCAACATGATTCTTGTAGCGGGGATTATGAGCGGTCAACCCGAAGAAAACCGGGCCAGGAGTTTTTGAACCAAGGGGGTATACGAGCGTCCCATCGATGGTAGGGAAACGAAGGTGTTTCGGGACTAGTTCCTCGCTGTTCCAAGCAGCAGCAAGAAGGCTGTACATGGATGTATCATTTGACGTGTGGAACACATGGTTTTTTCCTTCTCGCAATTCCTCGCCTTTCCGGATTGCGGCCCATATCTCAATAGGGAGAAGGGTCACGGAGAGTTCTGTGGTAGGGTCGTAGATGTGGAGCTCAAAATCCGGTTCCTCGCCGTAGGTAAAGTTTTTGAGTTGGTCCCAGAGGATCGGTTTAGTGACGACTTGGCGATCGGTGATATATCTGTCGCTGAAAGGGACAGGAAGGGGAATGAGAATGTTGGGCTTAGTGTGTTCGTCAGGCGATGCGATGGGGGAGGAGGTAGGTTCTTTTGGCATTGATGGCAGTTCGGGACTGACAGTGGGCTTGATGCCGAACATGGCGTCCAATCCGTTGGGACTGTTGGGTGCAGGGATTTTGCTCATGTCGAAGAGAGCGGAGGAGCCGTTGGTGGACATGTGGTTGGGGCAAAAGGGAAAGAGGGGTCGGAGGTATCTAGCAATAGTTGTGTCTGGAAAGAACAACGAAAGGAGATCGTGCTGTGGGGTGACGATTGGGAGTGGGCGTGGTTTAAGTAGTTTCTCCTGTGGGTCGGTTTTGGGGTATCCCGAAGTTGTAAGGGGACACTCCTATTTTCTCCTATTCCCCCTGTCCCGCCCCCTTCCTCCTCGTTCCTTTCCCCTTTCCTTCATTCCCTTTTCTTTCCTTTTGTCCCCTTACCTTTCCGCTTCCCTTCCGTTCACTCCCTTTGCATCCGAGCCCCGTCCGGTGACTCCGAAGTCTTCCCGCACTTCGGACTCGCCTCAGACTCGCTCGGACGCTTCGGACTCGCTCGGACTCGTAGATACACTTCAGGGCTCGTCCGGGCTACCTCTATCCTCCTTTCCCACTTCATTACTCCTTGTCCCCACTTCCCCAGGTCGCTGGCACGACTCCTGTACATTCCCCTTCCACTTCATTATCACATGCCCCCTCGTACCTTGTGATATTCGTTCGTACCTGTGGCTGGTGTACTGTACAGTTACCCTTCATTCCTCCCACGCTACTACAGTATATACTTCGCTTCCTAGCATGGAGAATCCTTATCCTGTTCTCTTTGGATTCTCCCTCTGCTAGGTGAGCAGCTCTCTCATGTATTGTAGTTAGTCTTATTCATTTCTTTGGATTCTCCCTCTGCTAGGCTTGCACTGTACGGCTATCTTGAGGTTGCCCTTACAGAAGTGTTGAGCGAGATGGAGGCCAGCAAGACTTGAGGGTCATCTGGGGGCGTTCCCGTTCCGGTAGGGAGGTCGGTGATTCCCGCAATTCCCTGGGTGTCTAGGTAAGACTGCAACGCCTGTAGATGCGAAATTTTGTCAAAGGGCATCCAGGTCTTGTCACCAGATTTCCACTTAATCTCGAAGAGGGCCTTGCTCCCTTTTCCGGTGTGCGACACTATTTCCTCAACGGCCCATTCAGGGTCAGAATCGTCGATCTCAAAGACTTGGGTGTCCAATCGTCCGGGGAACAGTCGGTCATCGTTGGGTATGTGAATGCGCAAGAGAGATGCATGGAATGTGTTGTGTATACCCCGTTGTCGTAAGCGGGGGGGAGTTCAACTTCAAATGTTTCGTTGTGGAAGCTCCTTACAATGGGATAGGGTCCGATGTATTTAGGCAGGAATTTCCTTACAAGCCCTTTCGGGAAGCGGATGTTTTCTGTGGAGAGATACACTAGATCGTGGACTTGGAATGGCACTTGTCGCCTGTGATTATTGGCAGATCGAGTTTGCTTAACCTGGGCGGCCAGGATGGAGTCGTGAGCTGACATGATGGCATTCTTTAGCTGCTGGGCGAATACCTTGACTCCTGGGTACTCAGTGGCCTGGGAGGAGTCCCAAATAAAGGACCGCGGCATGCGTCTGGTGTTCAAGAAGAACGGGGCGAACCCAGTTGAGTCCGACCGAGCCAGATTGATGGCGAATTTGATTGCTGGGAGCTTGGTCACCCAATCCTTCTGGTTGGGTCCAATGCATTGTCGAATCATTTGGGTGATAGTACGATTAGCCCGTTCGGTGGATCCATCTGACTGCGGGTGGTAAGCACTTGACATTCTCAGTTTCGTGCCTATGAGCTCGTGGAGCCGTTTCCAGAAGCGGCTCGTAAATAAAACATCTCGGTTGCTGACGATTGACTTGGGCAGACCATGATGCTTATATACTTCGGCGAATATGAGTTCGGCGACATGTCGTGCAGTGTAGTTTGTTCGACTTGGAATGAGGTGTACCATAGCCGTGAGGAGGTCTATAACGACTGTGATTGAGTCGTAAGCCGCGTCTCGATCCCTCGATTCCGGCAGTGGTCCCACGAAATCAATTCCTATAGCTTCCCAGGGGTGTTCAGCTACAGGGAGAGGGTGGAGGAGGCCATAGGGCCGTTGGTTATTCGGTTTACTATGTTTACATGTCATGCAGGTATCACAGTAAGTTTGGGTATCGTGCACCATTTCCTTCCACCAGACGTGGTCACGAAGGTAGTCCAGGGTCTTCTTTGCCCCTAGGTGTGCTAATAGCGAGTGTGCTTCTGCTATGACGATTTCTCGTATGTTCCTTCCTCTGACAAACAGGTGGGGTATGCACAGCACGCGGCGTCCTTGGTGGTTGAGGTAAACGAGTCCGTTTTCAATAGAGAAGTTGCGAAACTCGTTGGGTTTCTCTGTGATACCTTTGAAGGTTGGGTCGTCGGAGTAGCGATTTCGAATTTCCGCGAGTAGGTTTATGCCCTCCGAGGCTTGTCGGACAATGTCCACCAGGTTATGTGGTGTATGTGGTGGTTCGTTTGGAGGTGATAGCGTGGTGTTTGTTTCTGTGGTACCTCCTGATTGTAAGGGCAACCTCAAGATGGCCGACAGCGCAGGCCTAGCAGAGGGAGAATCCAAAGATAGTGAATAAGGCTAACTACAATACATGAGAGGGCTGCTCACCTAGCAGAGGGAGAATCCAAAGAGAACAGGATAAGGATTCTCCATGCTAGGAAGCGAAGTATATACTGTAGTAGCGTGAGAGGAATGCAGGATAACTGTACAGTACACCAGCCACAAGTCCGAACAAATATCACAAGGTACAAGGAAACATGTGATAATGAAGTGGAGGGTAAATGCACAGGAGTCGTGCCAGCGACTTGGGGAAGTGAGGGCAAAGAGTAATGAAGTGGGGGAAAAGGATAGAGGTAACCCGGACAAGCCCCGAAGAGTATAGATGAGTCCGAGCGAGTCCGAAGTGTCCGAGCGAGTCCGAAGTGTCCGAGACGAGTCCGAGCGAGTCCGAAGTGTCCGAAGTGCGGGAAGACTCCGGAGTCACCGGACGCGGCTCGGATGCGAAAGGAGTGGGTGGAAAGGAAGTGGAAAGGAAAGGGAGCAAAAAGGAACGAAGGGGAATGAAGGGAATGTAGGTAAGAGTCCATGGAATGAAGAAAAGGAGAGAAAATAGGAGTGTCCCCTTACACTGATGGGTACCCAGGCGCTCCTTCCCAATTTAGAAGGTTGGGTGCTGTTGCGGAGTTACCGCGGTCATTGCTTGTCGTCACCCGTTTGGCTGGAGGTAGCTTGATAGTGAGTCTCTTGGACTCTGCTTTGTCGCTGTCTTTGATAGCTTTGCCAGTCCTGCCCTCCTTTTGTTCTCCAGGCGGGAGGAGGACGAAACGTTTGGTACTCCTGCGTTGCGCAAAGTCCGCGCTGGACTCGACCCTGGGCGGTGTTTGAAGGGCGTCTTTTACGTCCTTCGTTGGTTCCCTGGCACTGGCTGTCGTTTGACGTGGTTTCGAAGCCATCATGGCTTCTAATCCCACAAGTATGGGCATCACAGTTAACGTGGTGTCGTCCTCTTTTCCTTCAACCACATCAAAATAAGTGTACTCGCTGCTGGCACGTACGGTCCCTGGTGCGTCGTTGGAGTAGATGCGAGAAAGTGCATCACTAACAACATTCTCTACCCCAGGGATATAGACTGGCTGGAAGTCGAACTCGCCTATCTTCTCCAGCCATCGTGCTTGTTGTCCCGTCAGCGTCTTCTGATTTAGCAGGTGTATTAGGCCCTTGTGGTCCGTTAACCAACGAAAAGGGACGCCTTGCAGGATATTGCGGTGTCTAAGCATGGATTCGATACCTGCGAGCATTTCGATTTCGTGCACTGCATAGTTTTGCTGTGCAGCGTTCAGTTTGGCGGAATAGAACGCCGCTACTTTGGCGTTTCGCCAGTCGTCGCCTTGCGCTATGACTCCTGATATTCCGGTGGCGCAACCATCCGTTATTAGCCAAACTTGAGGTGAGTCCTTGCCATATTCAAGAGGTTTGCGATGATGATCACGCCAGGCATGTAGCCGTTTCTTTACATCCTTGAAGGCTCGTTGGTGGGTAAATTCCCATCGAAATGGGACGGTATCCCCCGTGAGGGAAGACAAGATGCCCATCGGGATCCTGACCCCTTCAATGTTATCCGAGAGATACCCAACCGCTCCCAAGAATCCCTGTAGTAGGTCACGGTTCGTTGGTGTCTTCCAGGCCAGGATAGAGTTTACCTTACTGGGGTCCATCTTTATTCCTTCGCTGTTGACTATATGTCCTAGGACGCTTAATTCCTCAACGAGGAACCTCATCTTTTTTTCGGACAGATATAGCTGTTCGCGTTGTAGGACATCAAGAACTTGTTTCACATGAGAGATATGTTTACTCAATGTATCGGAGTAAATGTAGATGTCGTCTAGGTATACGTCCATGAAGACTCCGATAAAGGGGGAGAATAGATGGTTCATTAATGCTTGGTAGGTCGCTGGTCCATTACAGTCCCCCTGTTGTAGTACTTCACTGACGATGTTCCCGTTAGGGGTTGTTACGGCCGTTCGTTCTACATGTTCAGGTACAACTCGTATTTGTTCATATGCGTCACAGCCATCTAATGATGATACATACTTATGTTTTGCCACTCGGCGTAGTATCCCTTCAATGTCGGGTAATGGGGACGTCATTTTACGTGTGTTAGCATTTCGTTCACGGAGGTCAAAGACGGTGCGAAGGAGGGTTGTCCCAGGTTTGTAGATTAACAACATGGGCACGGTATTACTTGCATTGGTGATCCTCCAACGTCCTGACTTAATATACGCTGCCCATTTCTCATTCCACTGTTCTCGTAGGGGATCAGGACAGCGGGCAGGCCGCCAGTGGTAGACTTTGTTTTCGTCAATCAGCGGGATTGTGTGGTTGATGTCCCGTAGTGGGGGGAACGGAGTATCTGCGGCACGTAAGCATGATGGTTTAGCATAGTCAGTTAAATGCTGACGTGCCTTTTCCAGGTTACTTTCAACCAGCTGAACCGATTTCGAAGAGAGCTTAGTCACCCCTTCGCCGTTGAGGGGCTGGGGTGTGTTAGAGCCTATGACAACGTGAATGGGGTTAACTCCCAAGGTAACCTGGTGTTGAAACATCC